GTCCTCTTAGATGTGACAATATTTTGCCAAGTGTTGAGTCACCTTACAAGTTGGTGATCTGTCTTACTATGGGACGTAGTGGAGCGTTTGGTTTGTGTATTTTCTGTAACCCATACAACCTCGGTGGTTTGGCAAATGATGGTATTGTCGAATTCACGTCAAGATTTAATTTTTCGGAGTATTTCTGGGGATTAAAATTTTAAATTAAACGCGATACAATCCGTAAAAAGTTAGTTTCATTTAATTATTATTATTTATTTAAATTTTCTTCGGTTCTTATAAAATCATTCCTTGTGCATAGTTTTTTCGGATATTTAAATTAAGTTTATTTTTCGTCCTTGCTTATTAATTTCCTTCTGAAATATAAATAATTGCAAGTAATATTAATAATTTAGCGACCAACAGCAGTCAAAGTACCTGTTTTTGCTTTCACTACGCTGATGACGATAGTGCTTGAGATATTTCCAGGCATTTTCAGTGTGAGAAAATACATAAAAACGACAATTTCGTTATTGCCCTTTGTTGTTCGTTATATTCCTTTGACCTATTTATGTACACCGTGTACAACACGATCATTTTTGACGCAGGCGCGGTGCACAGACACACAGTATTCCCGTCTCAACGTAGCTACTGAGACTCAATCATTAATAAAACGTACTTGAATCCCCGCGTGACGTGAGTCGATTGAGAATTTATTTCACAGAATAAAAACATAGTAAGCACCAAATACGTTTTATTCAATAAGTAGAAAAATTTAAAAAAATGCTTAAGTCAGCGCTTGTAGTGATGTCACTTATTATATTTTTGAGTTAATAATAAGCAACTCGGTCAGAAAATTCGGTTTTCCATGAAAATAAGAACTAACTTTGTGGTTTTTTTCTATCGAGATAATTTTATTCTATTATGCTTTTAATCAATGTTTTCTCTCGTAATTAAGATGTAATATACATAATAATATTTTTCTTACTTTGAACTTCATTTAACTATGTAAAATTGGATCTAAGATTGACACAAACAAGATGCGAAAGTACAGTCAACAGCTTGCAAGCGGTGCGGTATCAGTACGCCGAAGTGAAAAGTGCAAAGAAGAGTATAACTGACCCGTGGCAAGTTTGGAAGCTAAATCACTTGCAGCCAATTTTAAGAAGTTCTAGTTTTGCTGTCTTTAGTCATTTGGTATGACGGTTTTTTCCACGTTAATCTTGTCAGCACATGCATGCAAGCAGAGCGCATAGATTTATCAGGTGCTACAAAACTGGTGCACAAAAAATAATATACCTCAAGACGAAGGATTAACAAAGTCTCTCAGTACAGCTAAAGGTACAGCTGAAAAAGCTGAAATAAGCTCGGAGTTTGAAAGAATCCGCGAACGAAAAAAGAAGGAAATGTTCGTAAGGAGTCTGTTTGGTAATCAAGCAGGAATCGGCGCATGAGTACCAAAACTATTCCACCTCAATTTTTTCATGCGATTCTCTTCAAGTGGTCCTGCTGATGATATAAATGTATGCCATGGGTCAACTCGGTGCCATATTGTTTAAACCGATTTTTTTGAAATAGCGAGGAATTGTTATTTTTAAACTGGACAAATTTCTTTTGTATTCTTTGATAAATACAAATAAAAAAAGTTTCATGACTTTTTACGATAAAGTTAAAATTTTCGGAGTTATGAATTTTTAAAGGTTTGAAAGATCCCGAATTCGGATAATTTTGACTCTAAATATATAAAGAAAAAAAATTAAATATAAATATATTCCGGATTCGGAAATGTTATTCAGAACAAATGCTTTCTATCCAATGTTGGACACCGCCATAAACTTATATAGATACATGCTTTACACGACTTTTTACAATTAATGAGACTTGGCGTTTATAGAATAGAATAGAATAGAGAGTTTCCTCTATGATTTGAATAAGACCGATGAAAATTTTAAGAAAGTATGCTCAAAGTTGGAGCAAAAATGAACGCATATCTTAGTCGTGATATTTCGGGATCTTAGTCGTGATATTTCGGGATTTTAGCTTTCAAGAGAAAAGATGTGTTTAAAAAGTTTTTATGTATCGATAAAGGTCACTCGAAAGCATTCCGTCAGCTCTTAGTATTAAATAATTGGCAAGACACGTTACCTAATATTAGGTCTTTACCTATGAAATTGCCGTATTTTATGATATAAGTTAACGTTACTATTTTTCTATATTTTTTATTTCTATTAATCAAAGTAATCACCCATGCAATCGATGCATCTTTGCTAATGCAGTAGCAGTTTATTGATGCCCTTCTTGAAAAAATCAGCTGGACGGGGGAGCCAACAAATTCTTCAGTTATTTTGTGCTGCCTCTCTAGTATTGAATTTTATTCCCCCCAAAAAGTTATTTAAATTCTGGAAAAAGTAAAAGTCTATAGGCGCAAGGTCTGGTAAGTTCGGCGCATGACGGGAGCTTCCAACCCAGCTTTTATAACTTGGAGACCATCTGTTATGTAGTATGAAGTCGCGCATTGCCGCACAGGAGTAGCGGGGACGAGCGATTGACCAAACCTGGTTGGAGACGTGTGTGTGAGCTTCTCCATCATTGTCTTCAGTTATTCACAGTACACATCTGCAGTGATGCTTATCCTGTTTTGTAAGAAGCTCTGATGAATCACACCGGCGCTAGACCAACAAACAGTGACCATCACTTTTCTAGGGGTAAGTTTTCGCTTAGGGCATTATTTAGGTGCTGAATCAGGATTCAACCACCTTGCTGAGTACTTAGGATTGTCAAACATAATCCATTTTTCATTGCATATAACAATGCGGTTCAAAATTCCTTCGTTTGTGTGCCTATTAAGCAGTGCAAAGCACATCTCGATGCGTAATTCGCGTTGGCAATCATTAACTTCGTGGGGCGCCCATATGTTACGCTTTTTACCTTGCCAATTTGACGCAAATGAACCAACATTGTTTTGATGCTAACGTGGAAAGCTGCTGCTAATTCAACCGTACATTGAGTATCATCAGCTTCCAGAATCGCCTTTAATTCGTCATTGTCCTTTAATTCCACCAAAGTTTTTGGACGACCACAAAGTTCATTTTTCATGTTGAAATTTCCAGAACGAAAGCGGGTAAACCAATAACAGGCGATGCGTTAGTTTGTAGTATTCGCTCCGTAAACGTCGTTGATGTTGCGTACCGCTTGTGCCACGTTGCTGTCACGACGGTACTCATTTTCCATAATTACTCGAATTTTTCATTTATCCATGATAACAAAAAGAGAGAAACATAACGGTTATCAATAAACAAATAACCAATTTTGAAAAAAAAAAGGATTCCATGTTTTTAAAATAAAAGTAATATGAAATTAGAATTCTTAGCCAAACAGAAATTATTTTGATTTGAAATGGTCAGTACTGCAGAACGGCAATTTCACAGTTAAAGACCTATTATTTGGACAGCTCTCCAGATTTTCATAACTATTCCTATTACGGTGGCCAAAGATGAACGCAGTTTTAGTAAGTTTAAGCTAAAAACATAGCTGAGGTCGACTCTCGCAGAAGATAAGCTTTCTGATCTAGCCTAGCTTGTTGTGAAAATGATATAGCTCAGACATTATCGTATGAGGAGGTCATATAAAAAATTGTAAATGCAAAAGTGCGTACGCAGCGATTTAATTAAAATTTGTTCTCCATTTAAATAGTTTATTATTAAACCATTGAGTGTTTTAAGGACATACAGGTGCCCTAATTGCTATATTGTTATGGTATTGTTTTATTTTTTCCGACATTCAATGGGTTAATTATATTATTATTAGGAACCAGTAGGCTAAACCTGAAGAGTTTGGTTTTAATAAGCACTGTTACATTAATTAGTAAATATATAACATAACGTATAAGTACCAGTTCTAAAGTAGATTCTGTTTATTGATCTCATTAATGAATGGTGACTTAATTGCATGCCTTAAGCGAAAGCGCAAGGTATGTTCTACTATTGCCTAAAAATTAAGATTCCAACGTTTTATCGAATAAAATCGTATCTAGCAATCATTTTATACATATAAATGATATAAAAAGCACATTGTTAAAAAGATAAATGATTGTTGAATTTATTAATATTTTTTTGTTTTATTGTCTATTGTAGTTATGATTTATTTAAATAAATGTACCTTAATTCCTTTTTAATTTTGTTTTTTCACTCTACATCAACGGTTCCTATACTGCACTCCGTACACCGTAAGGAGTGCAGTGCCTAAAAGACCACGAGCATGGCTGTTTTCAATCGACAAATTAAACATAGATTTGAGATGTTGTTGAGATCTTCCCAGTTTCATGATTGCTTACTGGTATACATTAGGGCAAGCAAGGGGGGCGCCATAATTGGGTCTCGCTCCATCCTAAAACTTGCCTCAGGCCGGCACTATATATATATATATATAGTATATATATATACTAGCTGACCAGGCAGACGCTGTTCTGCCCTTTCCGACGACCATTTGCTTTCCTAAAAAAACTCCTGAGATTAACAATAAAAAAATTGTGGGTCACTTATCGGGATTAAAACTATCCTATCTCTCAAGTTGGACCAAACTGCACATAGTGTGCAAAATTTCATTGAATTCGGTTCAGTAGTTTAGGAGTTCAGGAGAGTATATATATATATATATATATATATATATATATATATATATATATATATATATATATATATATATATATATATATATATATATAAAAGCCTTCTAACTTTTATTAACTTTTTTTATTCTTTTATTTCTATTATACTTTTTAGTCTTGTATTAATATTACACATGCTATATTTTATTATTGTGAAACCAGTCATCATCATTATTATCATGTCATCATTATTAACTTGGATCAGTTCTTAACCTTAATTAGCTTTTTTATTTATTTTTTAAGAGAACGCGTCACATCAATGTTCGAATAAAGCGTGTAATTTTGTGGAGATAATATTTTGTTTACTGGTCTGTGTCATAGTGAATTAATGGTATTTTTTAAGTTTCATTCTGGCAATTCATATTCGTCAAATTTTGGCATGGTTGATTTTTACTTGAAAAGAATAAAATAATACAATTTCGTTGGAAATAATATGAAAATGGAGTGGGAACCAGAACAAGAAGGATTACGACAAATACTTACTCTTCTCAAGGAGTCTCAATCACCGGACACTGCAACTCAAAGAGCTGTTCAACAAGTATCCTTTTGTAATTTTACGTCTGAGGTCTTCATCGGCGTGGATGTTTTTTTTGTGTTATAAAACCGTTATTTTCATAATTTGTTCGTAGATATTATCTAATTTTCACAAGCATTCATTTAATACTTGTATGCAATGATTATTTAGTTATTGGCATCTTTTTACCACGCTCGAGATAAAAATCGATTTTTCCGACATGACAGTCATTGACAGCTTTCCGTTGTAATTATATTTTCCATAACAATGTTATATCAGAAATTGGAAGAATTGAATAAATATCCGGATTTTAACAATTACTTAATTTTTGTATTAACCAAACTGGTCACTGAAGAAGAGCCTACAAGGTCTCTGAGTGGTTTAATTTTGAAAAACAATGTAAAAGCACACTACAATAGCTTTTTACCTGAGGTTGCAGAATTTATTAAACGTGAATGTCTTTCGGCCGTTGGAGACCCTTCTCCTCTAATAAGAGCCACTGTGGGTATTATAATTACCACTATAGCAAGCAAAGGTGAATTAACTTCTTGGCCCGAGCTCTTACCAGCATTATGTCAGATGCTTGACTCTCAAGATTACAATGTTTGTGAGGTAATAAATTCAATAAATTAATTGTTATTACCTTCCAGTGTTTGGGTAACTAAACTATATTTTAATTTTACAGGGAGCATTTGGAGCATTACAAAAGATTTGTGAAGATACCGCAGAACTACTTGATAGTGATGCACTCAATAGACCATTAAATGTCTTAATACCGAAATTCCTGCAGTTTTTTAGACATTCCTCACCCAAAATTAGATGCCATGCTATTGCTTGTGTAAATTACTTCATAATGGGAAGAACACAAGCTCTTATGTTGCACATTGATTCATTTATAGAGGTATGTTTCCAATTTTCCCGCATTTCTATGAAAATCTTATGAAAATATTATATGAGTCTGTTGCAATTTAATTTTCTGTTAGTGAAAGCAGCTATTGGTACGACTTTCCATTGACTCCAATCAAGTTGGGGGATGATACATATTTTTACAGAAAAGTTACACTATTATAAGCACACACACAAAGTTACAACATGCAGAAGCGTGTAATTTTTGAGAAAAAAGTTATTGAAAATCAATTATTCTTGCATTATGTCTAATCCTATAATAAAACTGACGCCGTAACGTAAGTCGCTCTGGTTTACTATATAACAAATTAAACAAAGAACATCTACAGCAAAACATATGGGTTGGGCTTAGAATCAAGTCGCCTGAATTTGAGGAGTCTGTCACTGTGGGAGGGTCCAAGGGGCTTATCTCAACCATGCAATTTTAGCTGCTTCGAAATATTTCATATAATTTTCTAAAAATATTCATAAATCACTAATTAATACCTGAAACTGAACTTTTGACACTGACAGTAATCAGTAGCAGATATACTCGACCAAAGAGAATATAATCACTATGTTTATACTTGACTTCACGACTCACGTCATAAGCGTCATTTCGTTGCTTCCTAGTTTACGTAAATGTGCTCCTTATTGTTATTATCTGCCTCCTGTTTTTGGATGACTTCGCTACTCCTCTGGAGATCGATTGCTTACTATTTTATGACGTTTTTGGAAATGGTGGAAGTTATAAAATATGTTTACTAATTATAAAAGTTAACATTTTGGTGTTTTATTTGGTGCAAGAGCGAGCGAAGCGAGCTCGGGACTTGGGGCACCCCGACTCGGACAGGTTAGGTTAGAAGCGGATGGCAGGGCCAAGCGAGCAAACAGACCCCTCTGTCCCCTTCGTGGTTATTTTTTTATAAACCATCCAGAAATAGACCAAGCTTCCCTCAACTGCTCCACGTTGAGTGGTGTTAGGCTACCCTTTTTTTTTTTCGGGGGGAAATCCTCATGGACTACCTCCGCTTGGGGAAAGGCGGAGGGGCGTGCCGGACTCTTACTGGCTAAAACCTCCCCGGTGTCTCCTCGCACGTGCGCGCGGGGTCGCGGAAATCCAAATTCTTCCGCAGCCCTACACTAGTGCTGGCCCGGTATGTCCCGGCCTCGTCTCCTGCACGGGGTAGTGAGTTCACCTACCCCGTGTATCGCCTCAGAGGCGCGCGCCTACACCCGCGCGCACCTCCGCTTCGGGTCCATCGAATAGGGCTGGCGGGGGCTTCCCCAAGTCCCTCGCCCCTGGACCCATTCATGGGGGCCGAAAAAGGGCGTTGTCCGCCCTTCTCCTGCGCCCGGTGCGCCTTCTGCGGCCGGGGAAGGGAGTCGAGATCTCCCTCTCCCGTTCCGCAGTTTCCTGCGACATCACGTCCTCGCAGAAGGATACCACCGCGTCCCACGACTCTGCGCTACCGACCATCCTCCGCACTAAGGCCGGCAGCGACAGATCGCCTCGTACTTCATTTGTGAGGACACGGCGCTGCTCCTTCCAAGCTACACACTCGGCGAGCGTGTGTTGCACCGCGTCCTCCCTGCAATGGACGCAGTGGTGGCAGCGAGCGTCCGGCTCCCTGTCTATACGGCACAGGTACTTGCCGAAGCAGCCGTGCCCCGACAGCACCTGCGTCACCCTAAACGACAGAGAGCCGTGCCTTCTCCCGAGCCAGTTGTCGAGTACTGGCCGGATCGCCTCGATGGTAGCGAGGCCGGCGGTAGAGCGCAGAAGCCTTTTCCGCCATTCCGCCACCAAGACCTGACGGAGCTCTTCTCGGCGCAGCGCAATCTGCCGCTGCACCGGCCTCGAGCCCCGTGCCCGCTCTTCCTCGCGCCATCGATATAATGACGCGAGTACTTTCGCCTCTAGATCCCAGGGCGGGGATCCGGCCAGGACGCAATCCGCCTCGTGCGTCGTGGAAAGGAAATCGTGCGATACCCGCGGACGACTCTGACGGCCATCGCCCTCTGCGGTTTACGCAGAATGGCGAGAGTGCTGGCCGTCATGTCCATCGCCCACACATGGGCCCCGTACAGGGCCATGGACCGCACGATTCCCACGTACAACCGCCTACAGGCGGCACTCGGGCCCCCCAAGTTGGGAAGCAACGTTGAAAGCGCGCCCGCTGCACCCATCAGCTTGGGCGCCAGCCGCCGGAAGTGGGGTCCGAATTCCCATCGGCTGTCGAGCACCAATCCCAGATACTTCTTGGTGGACTCGACAGCTATCCGGGCCCCGCTAACCACGATGTGTGATCCCGCAGGCGGCGCGCGTCGAGGGCCATGGAACACCATGGCCTCCGACTTGTTTAGGGCCACCTCCAGGCCCAGGCGCCGGATGCGGTTTACTACTTGTGACACCGCAGCCGTGGCAACCAACGCTGCTTCCCTGTGCGAGCTCCTCCGGGCAGTGACAAGCGTATCGTCCGCATAACACGTCAAGTCGGCGCCCGACGGGAGTTCACCTCTCAGCACCCAGTCGTAGCCGATGTTCCATAGGAGCGGTCCCAAGACCGCTCCCTGCGGAACACCGCACGACATGACGCACCGACCAGCGCCCTCACGTCCCCGATACGTAACGCATCTCTCCTCAAGGTAAGCCCCTATTGTGCGGCGGAGGTAGGGAGGCACGCGATGGTAATTCAGCGCCTCCCAAATACAACTCCAAGGTAGGGTGTTGAAGGCGTTGGAGATGTCTAAAGACACCGCCAGTACCACCCCACCCCGGGATACTGTCTCCTCCGCCAGGGCCCTCACGCGCGTAATAGCGTCTATGGTGGAGCGCCCGCGACGAAAACCAAATTGGTTCTCGTGCAGGTCCGGCCCCTCTCTGCACAAGTGGCTGACGAGGCGATCTGCGATGATACGCTCAAAAAATTTGCCCGCCTCGTCGAGCCGAGTCCGCGGGACGCCCCTCCTTCCTGAGCAGGACCAGCCTCCCCTCCTTCCACACACTGGGAAGCTGACCCTGTTCGAGACATGCCGTGAAGAGCCCCCTCAGCTGGGGCTCCAGCTCCTTCAGAGCCAGGACGAGAGCTCGACCAGGAACTCCGTCGGGTCCGGGCGCTGTGTTCTTAGCCTGGAGTCGCGACACGGCCGCTCTCGTCTCTGCTTGCGTTACCTCAGGGACATCGGTGCTCTCCTCTTCTGGAGAGTCTGTGGCTGAGGGCAAAGCCATCGCCGGGGGAACGTGTACCGCTCGTTCAGGGAAGAGAGCCGATACCACCGCCTCTAGCAACTGGGGTTGCATGCTTTGAGTTAGTGGAGGCGCCCAGGGACGCAACTTGTCCCGTACCCAACAATAGGGATCGGTGGGGGCGCCACGGATCCCGATCTAGGGACCCCAGCAGCTCCTCCCTTGCACGCGACTTCCAGTCGCCGATGGCCAGCCACAGAGTCTCCTTAGACGCGCGGTACACCTCATACAGCGCGTTCTCCTCGGCGGAATCCCGTCGACGCCGCCTCCGATATCGGGTGTACCGGCGACGAGCCGCAACGCACGCTATGCGCAATTGCGCGATCTCGGCGGTCCACCAGTACACCTGGTGCTTTGCGGACCGTTGGTGGACACGGGGCATGGACGCGTCGCAGATCTGCGTCATCGCCCCGCGAAACCATAGCACTACCGCTTCGACGTCGACGGGGCCGTCCGTCGTCGACTCCCAGATCCAGGACTGGACTAAGACAGCTTCCTCGAGTAGTTCCCTGTCGATGCGCTTAAGCGCCCAACGCGGGCCGTCGTTAATCGGGGTTGTTGGATGACGGCCGCTCGCAGTCTGGGCAGAGACGTCGCACCGGATATAACGATGGTCCAACAGCGTCTCCACCCCTACGGCGACACGCCAGTCGCGGACTCGGCTGGCGACAGAGGGGCTAGCGAGCGAGATGTCCACTTTCGACCAGACCAGTCGTCACCGTTCACTCTTCTAGCACCTCGCCCCGAGGGTCAGTGACCGGAGATCCCCACGCCGATGACTTGGCGTTGAGATCTCCGAGCACCATAACGGGACGACGGTGATAGCGGCCTACCACGGCGCCCAACTCGACAAGGAAACCCTCAAAGTCGGCGAGACTCTTGTTGGGGGAGAAATATGCCCCTACAATAACGATGCCGCCCGAGACTGCAGCAACCCAGCCGCGGCCCCGAGACGGGTCGATCAGAGTCTCGCCAAACCGTCAGCGCATCCCAGCCAGTTCGCTTCGCAGGGCTCCATCGACCGAGCTTCCCTCGACTACGCCACGTTGAGTGGCGTTAGACTACCCTCCCCCAACTCTCTGCTTTCAACTCAGCAAAAAATCAGGTTTATATTGTCAAAACCATTACGAAGACGTAACCTCAAAATGAGATTTTTAAAAAATTTAAAAAAAAACTAAGCACGTCCGGCAGGAAATGGAAGTGGGGGGTGACCCTACAACACTTTCCAGCACTCATAGTCAGAGGGGGGATTGTGTTCTTTTTTATTTTATTTTTTTCCATGTGTAGTATTCGTGTAAATATAAGAAATCATTTGTAAAAAATCATTACTATATTACCCATATATTAATAATGATTCAGCCAATAGTTAAAATTAATTGAATAATTCTTTTATTTATTACAAATATTGGTTAATGTTTGCATATTTGTACAATATTAACCCATTTTCAGATACAGTAGTAAGACAATAACAATGAACTATATGTTGTACATGGGATAGTGAATGGGTTAAGATTGAAATAATCTTTCTTTTGTTTTTTTTTTGTTATAGAACCTTTTCCATTTAGCTGCAGATGAAGATCCCGATGTCAGGAAAAATGTCTGCCATGCCTTGGTTTTACTTCTAGAAGTCAGATTAGACAGGCTCATACCACACTTACCAAATATAATTGAGGTAGGCAATATAATTATTATCCTTAGTGTTTCATGTCAAACTCATTTTATTTTTATATATATAATGGACTTTTACAGTTATTATCTTTATATTTTAATTCATAAATTTTTTTATAGTACATGTTAATTCGCACACAAGATCCTGAGGAAGGAGTGGCTCTAGAGGCTTGCGAATTTTGGCTATCTCTAGCAGAACAAAATGTTTGTCGTGAGGTAAGAAATCTTTACAATTATCTAATCAATGTTATTGTCAATGTGTACTTTTTGAATTTATACTTCTTTTGGCGCGTTTGAGAAAATTGATGAGAGTAGAATTTTTTACAATGCGCGCGCACACTGACACCTAAAAAACGACACCATGAATTTGTTACGATGCGCGCACACAACGAAACCTAAAAGCGACAACTTCAGTTGATAATTGTCTGTCAACTGTCAAGTTTTCGTGAGAACTGATAACTATATTCAAACCAAAGACAAAATAAAAATAAAAAAAACTATATTCAAGGTAGTTTTTCAAATATATATCAATCTATAAAACGTGTTTTATTTTAGTTATTTTTGTTTTGTTACGCTAAAGTAGTATAACTTACGTGCGTACATAAGTACACACACACGTTTTTTTTTTATTTCATTCTGGTCAACACAGTATGAATGTATTTATATGCACATCTGTTGGTATAATACCGATATATAAGTACTTAATCAGTGTGTCCTGTATTAGAAAGTAGTCTCTCTGATGCAACAGAACTAATTTGAAAAGAGTTTTTATTAAAACATTTTTTTTAAATAGTGTACAACGGCATGTTTACATCAATTACGTGTTGTACTCGTAGTATGGCGAGTAAGTATGAACATTTTAACCTCACTCCAGGTAATTGTAGAGCGAATAAATTCTAAAGTGTGGAGAATTTTAGAACTAACAACATAGGTCCAACTTGCACCTATGTTGCTAGTACAATGACACTTCAGGCACTAGCCAGGGCGAGCACAAGCCCTACTGACTACAACTGTTCAACTTTGTATATTTTTTTTTATAGGATCGGGTGACAAACGAGCACACAGTCCACCTGATGGTAAGTGGTTACTGTGACCCATAGCCATCTACATCTATCCTCAATAAAGCCTCAAGATGCAGATGCGTTGTCACCCGTGAGGACTAAGATGGAATGCGTCTTTGCCAGTAAAAAGGGTCTCCGGTTCTCTACACTCACCATACGAAACACAGCAGCGTTAAGCTGCTATTTTACGCTGGTTTTCTGTGAGAAAAGCACAAGTCCCATTGTGCATGAAGTATTGCTGCCATATGTGGAGTGGTGCAGCCAAATGCCAGCTAGCACATTTGGACGTAATGGAATAGCTAAGAGCTTATTGGTGATCCAAATCTGGTTAAAACCAATCTCATCAGTCTAATAAATATACATTTCGGAGAGTGAAAATGTGCACAGGAATTGCATAACTGAATTTCTCCCTCTCCCTTCCACCATCGGATAACCAGACACTCAGTTAGTCCCACTACTTTGTGGTTGACTTACCACACATTAGAAACAAATGGTTTGCGTCATCGTACATCATGTGTACAGCAAAGGAGTGGGATAGTTTTCTTATATGTCATTACATTTAACTACAATGTGGGTTTCTTCCAGGCAAGAGTGAATAGGCTTTTACTAAGCAAGTGTCCCATCTTCCTCTGCATCACCACTTACCATCAGATGGAGTAGTAGTTTCAATTTTTGATAAAAGAATAAACGCAAGTTAATGTTTTTTCTTAGGTATTAGGGCCACGTTTACCAGCTCTCCTACCAGTTTTGGTTCGCGGTATGCGATATTCTGAAATGGATATAATTCTCCTGCGAGGTGATCGCGATGACGATGCTGATGATGCCGAACCAGATCGAGAGTCCGACATTCGCCCACGCTTCCATAAACCGCGCTCGCACACCGTCAAACACAATGGTGAAAATTTTGTAAAAAAGTATATTATATAAATTTTAAATTATTTTATATATATATTTAAAAAAACTAAATACAAAAAGTATAAACAACATATTTATGTAAAAAAATTTAGGATTATAATGAGAGCTCATATTGCTGAAGTGTTATTAGGGCTTCTTACCAGGTCATCATTCCATCTAGTGGGTGACGGCCCCAAGCTGTTAAATTAATAATATTAATAATGTCCTCTAGACCGAATTTCGGTCACGGCGGCCAGTCTCAACGAAGACTTAGCAAGACAGGATTCTAGTGCTCTAGTGTATGTGCAAGCACAGATGCACTCTCTATTCATTAACTCCCTCTCTGATATTCTGATCTAGAGCAGGAACAACAAAAATCTTTACGTGCTTTCTAAAGCACGAGGGTGAAATACCGCCAACTTCCGACTTCCTCACTCCGGGCCTACTAGGAATTTCTTAACAGAAAAACTCAATAACTGATTTTTGTCCGCCAACCCGGGGTGCAAACCCGTTACCTGACGACCACCGGTCGCGTTTACAACCACTACCAAAGAGGCACTTAAATTAATAAAGTAGAATTGAAAATAATAGATTATATAATTATGGACTATGAGGCAATCCACCTCAGTCCTTAGAAGCGACAAAGCAATTACAGCCATAATTCCATTGCATAAGGTTTAATGTTAGTTGATTGTAAGTTGTTTAGTTGTGTATTATAATAAAATTGTAAATGTTGTGTAGCCGGCGCGGGCGACAGCAACATGTCGGGCGGCGGCGAGTCGGACGACGAGGACGAGGGCGGCGCGGACGCGGACGACGGCTCGCTGTCCGACTGGAACCTGCGCAAGTGCAGCGCGGCCGCGCTCGACGTGCTCGCCAACGTGTTCGGAGCGGACTTGTTGCCTGTCCTCTTTCCTATCCTCAAGGAGACACTGTTCCACGAGGATTGGGTTATAAAGGTAATATTTTCACACATTTTCTTGTATTCGGTTTAGTCATGTTAAGTACATCAAAACAATTGATAAAAAGAAAAAAAAGAAAGTATAACAAGATAGGAAGAAAGTATAATAAGATAGGTAGAAAGGTTCTAGAGTGACTGCATTGTTCTGACAAGCAAAGTGAAGGACAAGGACAAGGTAGTTGTTTGACTGGTAAGACATGGAGAAAGCTGATGGATACAGGTGGATCAGAATTGTTTTGTGGTATTTCTTGGAGAAGGCCTATGTTCAGCTGTGGTCTTGTGAAGGGATAGTGATATTGATGATGGTGATGAAGGTAAATAATGTTTACCCTATGACTATAATTAATAGAATCAGGCGTTACTTTGCGGAAATCCATTATATAAAAGCTTTTAGAAAAATTTACTTCGCAAATATCCGCGTTATAAGATAAAATGATGTGTCTTACCTAGTATGAAGAGCACCTCCCGCCCTCCCTCAATTGCGTGCACTATCCCCGTCACCACTAATCCCAGCACCGCTACGAGTACTCCCAACACCACTACACTAGGCAAGACACACCACTGACGATAATACGACACGTGTTTCGCCTTTACACGAGGCATCCTCAGGTGATATAGACTCTACGGTGGCTAACCGCTAAGTGAGCGGCGAGCCAAAACAAGTGCCTTTTATACAGACCGATGACGCAACCGCTCTCTACTTAAGGAGCGAGCAACTACTTCATGCGATAAAACATGCGACCAATCACGCAGCCGTTTGTAAAATTAAAAACAAACCGCCGCGCAACGCCCACCCTCCAACCACGCAACCAATCGCCGATCACCGTGAGGGTGACAATCGACCATATTGCGAGGCTCTCTATTATTAGAGAGCAGGCTTAAAGATATTTAAGAGAGGTGAGTTAGTAACATTTGTTTGTTCATTCAGCAATGCAACGGTATTATTATTACTTTTTAATATCTCTAACTGTTCCAGCACACACAGCCGCAGCCCTTTATTACGCGTATGTAAGACTTTAAAGCAGTGGTCGTTGGCTAGGTTGTGTCCAGTGTCCAAAAGATGTTTGGCAAAATGGGATTTATCGGGAGTAGAAAGTAAATTTTTCTAAAAGCTTTTATACCCTATGACTGTTTTCACGGAATAAAATATCAAAATTTCTTGTGTGTAAATTGTATGTATAACTTCTTGTAGTATAAATTCCGTACCCTGTGGTGGTGGCGCAAATAATACATCATCCTAACTTTCTATGTGTGTTGTAAGAGTTAACTTTGTAAAATACTAGAATAATTTAATATCCATCAATAGATGACACTATGACTAACTTATGTGTTAGATGTAAAATACCGAGACTAGCGACAGGTAGCAGCGTATATAACTAAACAAATCTTTTGATTTGTAAAATATGTATAAAAAAATACTGAGTGGCATCAACTAAAATGTCACAATAGAATGATGATGATGAATAGGATAAAAATCCTTCATAGCCTGCAGTTATACTTGTTTTCCATAATTTTTGGACCGGAACTCATACACAATATCAATGCGTCGTTGCATAATGAACACTTGTTAAAATTATCGTTAAAATCGATTAAAAAAACAAACACGCAATAAGCCACAATAGTGGAAAACAATAGTGAGTGATGACCATATTCTTCCACACTGATGTTTTCGTTTTTGAATCGTTTATCGACACTGCCAACACTTGTGAGCGTGATGTGGTGATCAGGAGAGCGGCATCCTGGCGCTGGGCGCGGTGGCGGACGGGTGCATGGGCGGCATGGTGCCGCACCTGCCCGACCTGGTGCCGTACCTGGTGTGCTGCCTGGCCGAGCGCAAGGCGCTGGTGCGCGCCATCACGTGCTGGACGCTGTCGCGCTACTCGCACTGGATCGTGTCGCAGTCGCACGACCTCTACCTGCGCCCCGTCATGACGGAGGTCAGTACATTCTCTGACTCGTAAACATCTATATATAACTATCCTCAAATAAGAAAATTCACATGTGGGAATGAAGACGGAATACCCCTTTACGAGTAAATTGGTCTCAGGTTCTACATTCATGTTACAAAATAGCAGTATTATACTGTTACTCAAAGCTGGTGTGTGTGCGAACGTGGTTTTAACCCAGTCAAAACGACCCATTCCTGCTACGGTCATAACTCTATTGTGGCTCTTATATGCAAACTTACTGACAAACAAGCTTAAAGTCCACTAGATGGTAAGTGGCTGCTGCGTAGACACCTGCAGCCAACTTCAAACAATCAAAAAAGCTACAGATGCGTTGTCACCTCTGAGGACTAAGACGGAATACCCCACAGCATGTAAAGCATTTAACTATACTGGCTCACCTTAACCTTTAAATGGAAGACAGCAATGGGAGCACAGCTGTGTGAAGTAAAGTACCAACCCAGGTCCAGCTAGAGGTTAACTGGCGAACAGTGCCAGAAAGCATTACCTAACCAATCAACCGATGATATTTAACTGTGTATTGATTGTATTTTTAGTTTGTGCTCCATATTAATATAGATTTGTACATTTTGCTATTATTAACAGCTCCTGAAACGTGTTCTCGACAACAACAAACGGGTGCAAGAAGCGGCGTGCTCGGCGTTCGCAACTCTCGAAGAAGAAGCATGTACAGAACTTGTTCCATACCTCGGCCACATTCTACAGACTCTTGTCTATGCCTTCAGTAAATATCAGCATAAAAACTTACTAATACTCTATGACGCAATTGGGACATTGGCAGATTCTGTTGGCCATCATTTGAACAAACCAGAGTACATAAATTTATTAATGCCTCCTCTTATCACAAAATGGAATGTGTTAAAGGACGAAGACAAAGACTTGTTCCCTCTCCTAGAGGTGTGTATTTGGAAACAAGCAATTTTTTGTATTTTTAAAAGATGCATGTATAAATGTTTGTGTTTTTTTTCAGTGTCTATCATCAGTAGCTACTGCATTACAGTCTGGATTTCTACCATATTGCGAACCAGTCTTTAGGAGATGTGTTTCGTTAATAGAACAAACACTAAATCAAAATATTGTAAGTATTAAATATACTTAGATATTACGTCAAATGAAATACTTTAATGCGTCAAAAAGAAATTTTTAAACAGAAATTTGTATGTATAAATACGTATCTTATTTAATTATTTTAAATATCTAAATCTAATTTGCCTGAAAAAGGAAAACCAACCAAATTTTGGACGCTACTAAAAGTAGCAAACTCAAATCATATGAGAAATCATAATTTTATACACACAAACACGAGTGCGCTCGCTAATATATATATATATATATATATATATATATATATATATATATATATATATATATGCACGCGCACACACACACACACACACACACACACACACACACACACACACACATACACACACACATTCATTCACACACGCGCCACATACACGCCACACACACCACACATCACATCACACAGCAAGTGCATAGTTACGTCGTCCTTAAACGAATCAATTCAGTGCGAAAATAGAGTCCCTTTTGATAAAAAAAAAACTTTATGCCTATTATAAACATGAGGTCTTGCTTGTATTATTCTTCCGCGCACAAATTTTAATTTGATATAGAACATTGATCCTTATTATTCTGACGTAAAGACTGATTTCCAATACATAACTTGTGTATAACACCACTAATAGGCATTTTGTCTAAGGTAACTCATACACGCCGTGTATTATTTAAACTAAAATAAAATAAAATGTTATGGATTTTAACTTTATTTACAGGCAAACAGTCAAAGCCCAGAACAGTTTGAAGCACCAGACAAGGACTTTATGATTGTGGCGTTGGATCTATTAAGTGGATTAGCTGAAGGCCTAGACGGACACATTGATCATCTTGTACATAATTCTAACCTTATGCAGCTACTCTACCAGTGTATGCGAGATCCAATGCCAGAGGTAACTGGTGTATTATGAAAGATTATAAAAACTTGTGCATACTAAAGCAAGCCCAATGGGTCTGCTGTTTCGTGTTAATCACTTGCTTAGTCACTCAAACTGACAGAATTTCCCTCCTCATTGTATTATCCCTGTTATGTATAATTATGTTATGTCTATTCCTTCTCGGGCATAGTATATGTTATTCGTCATTGGAACCTGGCTTGCTGAACCACAACAGGGTTAAAAATATTTGTTTCATATTATAACACCGTTACTCATATTAACTAGTATAATTTATGGTGTTAATTTCACACTGTGCACAACCCCGGTTTGATTCCTGTTGGCACCAATTAAATTGTTATTTGCAATATTAAGTGCTGAGTTACAGCATACTCGTCATATACAATGTGTAAAGAAAGCTCTGTCTGATCCAAAAGCAGATACCATAATGACATAAAAAATATTGAAACAGAGTATTATTGAATATAAAAATGTGATTGTTATTTAAAATAAGTGTTTCTATTGCAGTTTGCTTAAGATTTATCAATTTTTTTAAATTGGCAACACTGTTGGCGATGTTATAAGTGAATGTTATTGTTACCCGATGGCCACCCAACTGCATGTATTGCCATGTAAATTTCCCCCATTTGATTAAACTTTGTTTTATCATTATGGGGTACTTTTCTGCCGACTTCCAAAAAGGAGACGGTACTCAATTCGACTGTATGTTTTTTTATGTGTGTTACCTCGTAACTTTTTACTGGGTGAACCGATTTGGATGATTCTTTTTTTATATGAAAGCTGGTACTTCTCGTGTGGTCCCATGTGAATTTGATCAAAGTCAGACCTATAGTTTTTGAGTTATTCTTAATAACTCATATTGAAGTCGGCTGTACAAATTTTTTAATTTTATATTATTTTATCTCTGAAAAGTGTTTTATGGAAAGATTGATGTCCACAATACCAAGGATTGACAGGGTTTTTTTTCATATTGTTGTAACTTTACTAGACTTGCAACGAAACGAATATTCTGCGGGTTTCCTGGCCGAATTGCTGAATATTCAGCAAAAGTATTCGCCGGGAATTAAATTGTGATTATTCAAAACATATTTTCTCTGAAGCTGAGATTGTTTACGAGAAGAAAAGGAGTAAACTACTGGTTGACAATGCAGAAAAATTAGTCTTCCTGCATCATAATTTTCTACTTATAAATTTTAATTACTTTAATTGAAGTGAATAGACGTTTATTTGAGTTTTTTTTTTGTTAATTTTTGTAATACAGAAGTAGATTATGTATTTATGAACCTATGACTACTTTAATGCTTACAAGAAAAATAAATGATTATGAAATAAATCAGTATTTTAAAAATAGAGGAAGTGGAAGGAAGAAGATTTGTAGGCTGTTACTTCAATTGTATAACTTTTTATATTGTCAGGTACGTCAGTCATCGTTTGCGCTGCTTGGGGACTTAACAAAAGCTTGTTTCCAACATGTTCATATGTACATACCAGACTTTCTACCGATACTTGGGATGAATCTCAATCCGGAGCTCATCTCTGTATGCAATAATGCCACATGGGCCATTGGCGAGATCAGCATAAAATTAGGTAAGTCACACTATCTATTACATCCTTGTCTTGCATCAAACTTGTCATTTATTTGTAATGCCATAATGTTTAACACTTACACTTGAATAAAATTATCGCGTTTTAGTAGCACATCATGGAGGTTCTTAATTATACAGGTATATTTTTATATTATAAATTATACTATCGCCAGCCATCCTAACTCATAGGTATTTCAAAGAATGCACCAGCTATTGTGTATTTTTCAAAGATTACCTTAGTCCTGCACAGTGGGAAAGTTTCAATTTGTGAAGTTTAAGCTAAGTTCACATGACCGCGCGGTACAAGATCTTCCGCCACCGCGCGACACCGCGGGGCACTGCGCTGTTCAAGTTCTACGATCATATTATATCAACCTATTCAGTTGATCCGCGCGAGTTGGGACGGACTGACGCATAGGTGCAGGATAAATGAGTAGCGAAGATGCCAGCCTGCCGCGCGTACATATGCCGTCATGTGAATGCTCCAACCGCGCGCTGACGCGCGTTCATATAAACTTAGCTTTAGTCTTATGTTTTGCGGCATTGCTGAGTTTCCTTAATGGTAATGTCCTTGAGGCCTCAGTCAACAGGATGAGTCATGGAGATCCATCACACCTTATAAATCACATAATGCAGAAATAGTGTTTGCTTTTATAATAAATCTACTGTTCTCGATACTTATATCATAAACTATAAGGTGCCGTGGTAGCTCAGGGACTTAGCACTCCCGGTAAATTTCACATTACGCGAGCGACCCTCGATTCGATCCCCGTGGCCACCAATAAAATTGTTAATCGCAATTTTAAGTGCCGATTTACCAAGTGCTCGGCGGTGAAGGATAACATCGTGTGGACCTGCATGTCTGAGAAATAAGAAAAATAATATTTCGAAAACATGTGAAGTTCGCCAATACGCTTTTGGGCAGTGCCGCGGACATTTGCTTGCCCTAAAACCTCTGACAAATGAAGGGAGGCCCGTTCCCAGCAGTAGGACGTATATAGGCTGTAACTTTAACTTTAAGAATATAAAAAAGTTTCGTACAAAACTTTTTTGGTTTACATTTTTACGCAAACAAAGTGGACTAAGAGTGTCGAAGGATAAGTCATGAGGCTTTTTAACGTGCAATTAACACATAGTTTTTGAGATAATAGCAAAAAAATTAGTTTAAAGCAAAAAAATTGAATTACTTGCCTAAAGACCATTATTATATTATATATGTAGGTTTTATTGTTTAAGTTCTACGCGGAAGAAATCGCGGGTATAAGGTAGTATAATATAATTTTAAAGAAAAAGGCTTATTCACAACTGGGTTACATAATATTTTCATAGATAGCGAAAATTTGATGAACAGTTCAACAGTAAATTCAAATACCTACGTAAAATACCACTTATGCACGTCCATGTTTAGACATAGGCCCCTTCTTTCCATGAGAGTCATGGATTGATGGACTTTGTGTCCTCGATATTTTTTAACCTCCGACGTAAAAAGAGGGGGTGTGTTTGACCGCTATGTGTGTGTGTGTCTGTCTGTGGCACCGTAGCTCTTAAACAAGTGAACCAATTTGATGCTGTTTTTTTTTTAATTTAAAAGCAGGTTTTTTAGCGGTGGTTAATATTATCAGCTCTTTTTGTGTCGGGGGTTTTTAAATTTTAAATTTAAGTTATTCTATTTTTCGATCGTTCGGGTTTCATCACGGTGTTTTGCTTCATTGCATGCGATACACACATGCACTTGATAATTCAACATTGTAAATTGGTACTCTTGTTGCTCTGGTACCATTTAGATGTCATAACATTTAAAGCGAGCGCCCAGACCCTGAGCTCTCTCACAGCTTCGACTGTGCATTACTCTAACTCTAATTGTTTCAGGACCAGAGACATCAAAATACATACCACTTGTACTTAGTCATCTAGTTGACATCATCAATAGGCCAAACACGCCTAAAACATTACTCGAAAACACAGGTAAGTCCGAATTTGTAATTAAGACTCATTCATCAAACAACATCTGGCAAAATATATTTTATTTAAACACAAATAATAAATCAATCATTATAATAAACAAAATAAAAATACATGCACACTTTTTTGCTAGATTGTTTTTGATTAAATATTTTCGGTGGCAGACGTGTAATGTTGTGAATATATACTATCTTTACCTTTTTATCCCTTCACTGCTTTATATTGGTTCCCCATACAATTCATTATAAACTTTATTGTTTATTGCTTGTTTGTGGTGAAATATGTCACTACTTACAGTAGTCTTTAGCAGATGGTTTGGCAAATTAATTGACTTAATATAACCAATAATGCCTTAACTATTTACTAAAGAACCTTATTAACCATTAACAGTATTTTTTCATTTTTATAATTTTATTATAGAGGTATTGTTGTAATAACCTACATTATTAATATATTATGTATAATTATGTAACATCATATGTATAAAAGCAACACAAGGAAAATCAGTTCATGATATGTAATAGTATGTCCGCTTGCTTTGGCGGAAAGTATGTTCAATTTTAGCCTTTTAATGTTATGTTGTAATGCAATTATTTATTTTCTGGGGTTTAATGTAAATATTTCTTATCACAAATGTAGTGCCCATAGAACACTTAAAGTGTGCGCCTGTTTTAAGAGGTGGCCTGGACTGCAAAATTGTTATTAAACAATGATACAATGATATGCTTACAATTTCCTAGGCCAGCTTTTGATTAATATGCGTTATTTCGTTTGATAGTTACTTAGTACAAAATGGTTTCACATTTTTTCTCTTTGTAACACTGATTTGTTGCTGTTGAATTATGTGATTTGAATATGTTTTGAATGGTTTGTTGATTTGTTTTCTTGGTTTTGTTCTCGGTATATCGTGGCGTGTAGCGATTACTATCGGTCGGCTAGGTTATGTGTGCCCCCACGACGTCGCACCCGTATTACATCAATTTGTACGCCAGTGGTCTGTAGTCAATTTTTTTTATTATTACTTTACATTATTATTATTATTACGATTACGTTTAATATTTAATAAGTTATTGATACCGGTATTATTTCGATTGTGGATGGTGTTTGTTCCTGGCTTGTTAATAATATGTTCTTTTATGATTAGTTGTTCTCGTTTGTGTTGAACCAGGCATGTAACATACTGCGTACGACGCTGAGGCCACACTTTGCAATCACTGATATATGGGGTGGTATTTATTAGATCATCTTATTTTCAGTGCTGTATTTTGTGTGTTGAACACCATCCGCTTTCAAAATTTATATAAGCATCTACAATCTATATGATATTATATTTCATCCAAACTGCAAGGCAAATCCTGTCCATATATACAATTAGTGTCCTATAACTAACTGCGAATAAACTGTATACGTAATTAATATTATAATTTATAATGCACGATCACTAAACAAGTATTATATGTACTTTGCTTTCAGTTTGGAATGCTCATGAGTTTCAATGTTCATTCAATATGTTATATGTCACTTTTGATATTTTTATTTTCACTTTAACCACACACACACATCTTCATCTTCAATTGTTTTATACATTTTGCTTTGTTATTTTTGTTTATTATGTTTGTCAGGGCAATCCGAGCATTAGTGTTTCTTACATTACTCGTAAATGTCATCTTAGAAGAGTGACCTTATTTATTTATGTTATTTTAATAGTTCCCTCTGTTGTGTTATATTTTAGCCTAATGTTTTACACATAGTTATTTTTGCAGCTAAAATCTAAGCTAGTGTTAAAGTATATTTAATGTTTAAAAGAATAATCCGTGGCTTTTTTATATTATAATCCGTGGCTTTTTTATACTTTGAATATATATATATTTAGTGACTTCCTTCTGGTAAATGATTTAATAAAGAAATAATTTTCATTACAACTGAGATAAAGATGCTGCGACTAATACTTTTATAACAATAGAAAGACATTATACACGATAAAATACATGTACTGTCAGCAAACATATAAAGAAAACACTATTTTCTACAAATACACATAAAAACTTAAAATTTGACAAATATTTTTCAAATAAAGTCACTCTGTATTTGGTCTCACAAAGTAGGTTGTTGCGCTGTTCAAAAATGTATTAAGCATTCCGTAAACCTCATTTAGATATTTATAGATTTATAGACGTGAGCTTTTTGACGATTTTCATTTATCCTTTAATATAAATTAATATTGTTTCAAATCAGTTGGATGTCAGCGTAACAACCGTATTTCGCCGCGTTGTACTCGATTTTCCGTTTATGGATTACCAACAGAACTATTTCGTACAGGTGCACGTCACTACGTAACATTCGGGACAACGACGAGAAAGACTCCGCTTTTCGTGGCATCTGTCAAATGATTCAAGTGAATCCCGGGGGCGTAGTCCCCGACTTCATGTTCTTTTGCGACGCGGTCGCCTCCTGGTCGCATCCTAAAGACGACCTTAAGGATATGTTCACGAAGATCCTACACGGCTTCAAGAACCAAGTGGGCGAGGAGAACTGGCGTCGGTTTACCGATCAGTTCCCAGTTCAACTCAGCGCTCGACTCTCAGCCATGTGTGGTATATAAACAGCATTAATTTTTAAATTATGGTAAGTTATTATTTCTATCTTTCGTACTTAAATATAGGTTACGTCATTTATTTTGGGACTTTCTTTTGAAAAGCATGCTTATCAAATTTCATTAATTAACTACTAAATAAAAAACAATAACTGTAATACTGATAGTGTATTTCACGTGCCTCACACAGTTTAATCTTCGTATTATATACTTCAAAATATAAAAATTATTGCGTAAATATTTTATGTTTTTATGAACGTCCTCTAACATTCATTGCTATGCGGATGACAGCACTGGTGATGCTCTATACACCGGCCGTGTCTATATTTCTCGGGAAAACGTCGCCGAGTACCGGAACAAACTTGTGTCTGAAATCGAGTCTTTGCTGAACAAAGTCTCGGATTGGGGGCGACTAAATCTAGACCTGTTTAATCCTCAGAAGACACAAGTTTGCGCGTTTACCGTCAAAAAGAACCCCTTTGTCGTATCTCTTCAGTTTCACGGCACTCCCCTTGTTGTCTCAGCCAGTATCGGAATCCTCGGCGTCGACATATCAAGTGACGTGCAGTTTCGTGGTCACTTGGAAGAGAAGGCCAAATTGGCCTCCTCTGAACTTGGCGTGCTCAGCAGAGCGGGACAGTATTTCATGCCGGCATAACGCCTGCAATTTTACAAGGCGCAGGTTCGGCCTCACATGGAATATTGTTCCCATCTCTGGACCTTGAACTGGGGCTCCCCAGTTCAAGGTCCTTCCACTTGACCGCATCCAGCGCAGAGCGGCTCGAATCGTCGACGACCGAGTTTTTTCCGATCGGCTCGATTCATTGGCGCTGCGAAGAGATATTGCATCCCTTTGCATTTTCTTTCGCATTTACCACGGGCAGTGCTCTGAGGAATTGTTCCAATTAATCCCAGCCGCCAAATTTCACGAACGCACATCGCGGCAGAACTCTTGATACCGTCCACCACTGTGCGATTTAGAAGATGTTTTCTTCCTCGCACAACTTCCTTGTGGAATCGATTACCACCAGTGATTTTTCCGGACCGATACGACTTAGGGACCTTCAAGAAAAGAGTTTTTTTTTACATGGGGAAATGCTTACGCATACCCGCCTCGCGGGGGCAAGGACGGGTAATGTCGGACTCGGACCGGCCTCTCCTCCCCGTTCTCCTTCTCAGGCAAGGCGCACCAGGAACACAAGGCACGCCCTCCTCCACGGCCTCTAACTCCACCTGCGTAACGCCTTCAAAAATCGCAGATTGTTAATAGTAATACTGGAGACAGGTTATTTCCAGTCGTCAACACTTTGTTTCTATTTGTCAACACTAGTTTAATAAAAAATGACTGCTCATTTTGTTCCTATTTCTCGCCAAAATGGTGTTAACGATGCTTCCGACTGGGAATGGCTGCTTATTCTTTTTCCAGCAAAGCGGAGCAGTTTTTGCAAATCATTTCGACTTTGGAAAGTCTGGTCCGTCAGCCTAATAATGATAATATGATAATTTCGCAGGGGAACCAATATGATCTCGGGTCGGGAAGACATCATGGCGTCGCTGCCGCAACCCTCGCGTACTGTGCCAACAAACCACCGGGCCACAAACGCCCGCTCCAGACGTCAACACACCGTTTGGATGCCCTCTTCATCTACATATTTCTATTAGTATTTGTACCTGAAAAATATCTAACGACGCGGCGACTCCGCTTAAATATTATCGTCAAATTTAAAGTGACGTGTCATATACGTTCGGCTTAGGATATAACACGCACAGGATTAGGTGGGCTAAGACCTAAAATTAGGTGTATCATGGGGTGCTAAGCTTACTGTACTCGTGACTTAATATCGCACGTTGCATGCTTACGTGCAGTTTAATCGTTGTTATCAAAACAAATTGTGCAGTTATCGGATTGTAGTTGTAGTGTTTAACCTCACCATATTGAATACTGGTGATTTCTATGCTAGGAGTGATCGAATTGTCTACTGTATTGCATGATTAGTGATAATAAGTAGTATGTAACTATAATATGAGACCGTTTTCTTATTTTTTGAATAAATTTTGAAACACTTAGTTTCTTTTACCGATTTTCATAGGCTCCAAATTCATTTGGTCGTCATTTTTAAGGTTGTAATGAAAAAAATTAAAGTTACATGTAAATTTTTGATAGATTTATAGACTCTTTTTGATTTAGGGAAGTGCAAAATCGTTTCGTTTCGGTTCACACATTTTATGTTTGTGCGCTAATTGCAACATGACGTAAGCAAGGCGTAATATTATTTAGTGTGGACAGTCGTGATGAGCGCAAGCTAGGTTGGACTGTCGATAGCTTGTAGAAGTTTGTTTTTTGTTCGATTGACGACTCACTGCTCAACAAAATCACTCATGCGCTTGTTTGTTTGAAAATTATCATTAACGCTAATCTAAATGTACCCTGCTCCGTTTTACCGTAACTTTGCTATCATGTCTTGTCTGAAATATATTGTGTGTACACAGAAAGGAATATATAAAATTATAAGAATTTATGTAAAAGCATTTATTTTATGTGTCTCCACTAGATTTTCAAATATTATATTTTAGTATTGCAAATTGATGTCTTAACTCTTAACTACCACTATTTTTAATATAAATTACAAGACTTAGTGAAATCGAGAATTTATGTCATCTGTGATTTGTGACTGGTTTATTTTGATTAATATATGTGTATGATTATATATTATGCCTGTGTCGGTGTAGATATGTTGCTTTGATAGATTTTATGTGAGCTAGATTTCTGCTATATAATATACCAAATAGTATTTTTACGTTCTATTTTGTTTTAATGGATTTATATGGTTGTGTTGCACGCGACGAAAAATATTTGTCATATTGACTTTTCGAATGTGTCGATTTATTTAAAATAACTTTTTTATAAAAATATACAAAAAACATACTAACCACAACTGTTTGTAATAGTTGCAGTGTATATAAACTATACTCCGTTGACAAAATACTGTTAGTAAATTAATCATAGCTCATTAGTCGGTATTTCGATTATTTTTTCATTGCGTGCAACATATGATTAATATAAAGATATTTACGTGTATATTAAAATAATATTATGTATATGTAAATACATATTGTGTTGTATTATTATTATTATTATATGCAAGTAAAATTGTTACTTTTTGTTTTATAATAGCTAAAAAGTCTGACTTTAACCACTTGTTGTCATTTCAGTTTTCAGATACAGCTCAGCTCAGTTCCTATCCTTAAGGTCTATTATTTTTTATAATGTTTATTATACTGCCGTGTTGTATTTAGCATGCTTGTTTTTTTTTTTAACTTTAAAGATTTCGAACATTGAAAAGTAAATTGTTGGAACTTTATGCCGTTACGTATTTTTATATACTTAGTATAATAATCTAGCCTATAAGGCAAACTTGTTTGAAAATTGTACTTAAATTATGTTATAGTCAAATTCAAAGAGAAATATAAAAAAATCATTTCTTTAATAAAGTATTTTTGTTTATGTTAGTATCATACAAGTTTTTTTTTCACAGTGGCGGACTAAATCTAATGAGTTGAGGTGCCCTTGACAGTAAGTAATTTTATTATACACTTATGATTCCTACTGACCTTAAGGACAGGATCTTTAAAATGCAAGAATCTGAAAAATTTGTAGTTCAAATGAACATTAGTCTATTTTGCAAATGCAATTTTAGCGTTAGGTGTGCAGTGGAATATTTACGGTTTATCGGGATACTGTAAATTTCAACATTCCTTGGGATCAAAATTTTATTTTTGGCTCTGTCCCGTTTATTTTTATGGGAGTTATGTATTCTGTATTTTGATGTCTTTATGTAATATATGTATGTATATTACTAAGTGTCCCTTCGGTCCTTTAAATCCCAAAAGGTTCCTATCCCGAGTCCTTTCTAGTCCCATTCCTTGTGATGTGCCAACGAAGCCCAATGAGTGTGCGAATGACTGTCCACCCTTATTGTAAATCGTATCGATGGTTGAAAGTATTAGGATCCGAGGATGACGTAAGTACGAAGATAGACGCGCGATGAAATTGTTAGTATATCTATCGCAGAGCTTAGTTTAAAATAGACGTTACCCTGCCTCGGATACATTCGCTAACTTTTATTTTTAAGTAAAATACACAAATGTACGGGTGTCGTAATTTATTTTTAAGATTAGTTGATTTTTTCGTCACCTTTTAATGTAGTATTTTATTTTTTGTTTTCCTAAAAAACCGTGATAATAGCTCATTAAGTGATTAAATGATTGTATGAATGTGCGAGGTGGCATTCGTAAGGCACCGATTCCTTTCCTCAAGGCATTGTTATATAAAAATAATATTATCGCAAGCGGAAATTTGCGAATAATTGTCGACATGTAACGACTTATTTTAATGATCATAATATTCTTGTTTCGCGCGTTGTGTACATTAATGTATTTCTTATATGTATTTACATATTAAATCCCATTAATTTAAGAAATCTATTCATGAAATTTATTTACTTTTCATAATCTTTGTAATAATATATTGCTATTATTGCACTTTATTATTGGAAATTCAACAATACAGTTCGGATATATCATTTGTAGCTCACATTTTATTTTAAAGCAAAATATTGGTTTTATATGTTTCACAAAATTATGAAAGTTACTACTAATTTATAACAACTAAGTACTATTTGTATAAATACTCATAAAGAAATATATTTTTAAATTTTCTAGCTATATTTTATATTTCCTTCAATTCAGTTTTGTATGTCTTCTATATGTCTATTATTTGTATTTATTGTATATTGTATTTGTGACATGTTTTAGTGTTTCAAAGTAATTACCGTTTGTCTTACTTGCTCTATTTTAGTTGCAGCATTAAAATGTGAAATGTAATAAAAACCTGAAATATTTCAGTCATGTAAGTTTTAAGGCTAAGTCTCATTTTAATGATTTTCAAGTGAGTACATGATATCATTCTCTTATTTAGAAACTAAAAGGCATTATCTCTTAGAGCCTAAAACTAGGCAAATATATATTCCACAGATAAAAAATATTTTATACATGAATTGAATTCTTTAAAAAATATACAGGTACTTACTGTTATCTAAAATGTACATAAACTATGTCACTGTTGCAGTATACATTATTGTATTATTTTGTTTTATAATTACCTAAATTTTGGTTGTAATACAATAACCTCACCAGACATTCTTTTACCATACATTTCGTTAATAAAGCACTCATTGTTCAATACTGTTGTTTATTTCTTATCATTATTTTAAAATAAAACTTCGATATTCATAAATACACATTTTTACTTACAAATCCTATAGGTGAAGGTATATTAATTAAACGAAAAAAAAAAGAAAACAAAGACTGCATAACATTGCAACACCTTATTTATGAACTATGTATATATTATACAGGGTTCTTCTGCAATAACCGGCCAAATTTGCAGAGAAGGTTCAGAATAAGTAACATAGGGGTGAAGAAAAAATTAACTGAAAACAATTTCAAACATTGTCCTTTTTATCTTTTAAATTCAAAATGCGTGGTAATGTACATTCGTAAGAGTCGATCGGTAGGCAAAAACGTTGTTGCTCATAAATGACATTCAATTTCGGATAATTTCAAATAAAAGTAGGAACCTCTTTACTCGTATTTTCAAAAACTGCAATAACGGTATATCATTATCAATATATTTGAACTTAAGTTTAAAATTTGGCTACCCTTTGAAAAATAACCCTGTATACCTAACTGATATTAAACTTACAGTTTTATAAGGTGGGTGGACCATGGAAGGCCACGCTCCTTTGAAGGCCAACTATTGAAAAGTCGTAGTTATTGACATGTAAAGACATATTCCTTCTGCTATACACAAAGATCCATCAAACTCAAGGCCACAGATGCGGCGGCGAGTCACTGGCGCCGCTATTGTGGCAGCACGATCTCACGCAAAGAGTATAGTAATATATAAGGCAGATCTCACGCTTCGTAGACTTTGGTCGTCGACCCTATAATTGTTATTCGCGCGCACAGGAAAATGTAATTTTTTAGTTAAATAACCTATTATTATCTTATTTTTTTTTTACTGTGAATTGTAGTATAAAGATATGTTTATGGTACTAAAGGAAAAAAAAATAGTTTTGCCTCGATTTAAGTTAAAATATTGGTAGTGTTCCTAAAAAAGCCGGTGGTTCCTTATAAGGCCAACCAAAAATTTGACGGTTGGCCTTGCTAGGGTACCTACATGGGCCTTACAAGGAACTTCTACAAACCATGAAATGAACAGTTAGGTACCGTCAACTAAGGCATCTTTACCATAATTTTGAAGGAAAAAGTTAATAAATGGAAAAATAAAACACTTATGATTAAGCTATTATTTTTAATCGATGAATATAGTACTTCTCCGTTGCTTTATAAATGCACTGTTTCCCATGGCTGCAAAACCACTAAAGTAGCACCAAAAACATGACACAGGTAAAGAAGCCACAAAAATGGCTACTTTACCTATACAGTATTTCTCGATAAAATGAAGCCTTTATAACTGAAATTGGTAAAGATACCCTTTCGCTTTACTTTCTCTGTTTAGACATATGGGTATTTTAATTAAAAAAGCTATATACGGGCAATAAATGCTGGTAGGTAAAGATGGCATGGACTCCATTGAAATTCTCATACAAATGTAATTAATTATCAGGGCTGCCACCAGTTTAAAAATGATGTTAAAATGTACGCTATAAAACATTGATTAAATGCAAGTCAGACACTCGCATGAAGAGTTATATAATGTATATCAGGCACTAGTTGTTTCACATTTATCATACTTATACTACCATAGTTTCAACTAAATTGTATTGATAATTATACTTAATGAAACTTATTATTCCAATTTATATTTAAATTTGACATCAAAATATAAAATTCCACGCTGGTTTTTATAGGGATTTGGTAAAATTTGTACTATATCATTTTCAAATACAATACTTGTATCGGGTACTGTGGGCCAGTAAAACCCGCCATTTTTATATCTCATGAATTTCGCGAAAACACCTTCACGCTCGGATATTTTCGTAATCAGGCCACAGTAATACTTATTTGTATTTTTGGTACTTTCAAACTTTACTAAGATGTATTGTCCAATATATAAACTTTTGGCTATAAATGCCTTCTCATTTTGTTCATTAATTGTATCTTTTTCTGACATAGTCTCTTCTAGTCTTCGTCGTTTTATCTTCAGTCCTTTTTTATCATCGTTTTCTATTATCAGGCTCTTTATCTGTTGTTTTCTTTCATGCTTCTCTGTTTTATGCTCTTTTGTTCCTAAATTTTTTATTTGTTCCACTGTTTCCTGGTCTTTCCATAAGTCTCTCTCCATTTTATATTCATTTACCATCTTTTGTTTTATCTCCTGTCCCTTCCTTTCATAGCTTTCTGATCTCAAGCTTTCCGTCTCATGTCCTTTTGTTTCCAATTCATTCATGTGTTCCTCTTTTCCCTGTTCTTTACATGCGTCTCTCTCCATTTCATATTCATGTACCATCTGTTTTTCCATCTCCTGTCCTTTCCTTTCATCGCTTTCTATTCTTAAGCTTTCTTTCTCATGTCCATTTGTTTCCAATTCCTTCGTTTGTTCCTCTATGTTCCGTACTTCCCATTCGACTTTATCCATGTCATATAAATTTACCATCTCTTTTACTTGCCTTTTATCACTTTCTATTCTCAAGTTTTTTATCTCATATCCTTTTTTTTCCAATTCCTTAATTTGATCCTCTATTTCCTGTTTTAACCATTCTTCTTTCCCCTTGTCATATTCTGTTCTCAAGCTTTCTGTTTCATGCCCTTTCGTTTCCAATTCGGTCATTTGTTCATCTTTTTCCTTTTCCTCCATTTTCTGATCTTCTGTCAGTTGTCTCAATAAGTAGTCCTGCATGTCTTCAATTGAATCGTAGTCCGAAGAATCTGCATACTGCACAGAGCAGTCAGAGTCTGAATCCGAAGAATTATCGTGGAGTTTTTTGGTTCTTATACCCTTCCTTTTTACATCTTTTTTCAAAATTGTCTTTAGAACAGATGGCCAAGCGTTTTGTAAATTTCTTTTTATCGTAATACCAGATGGTCCAGCTTTAGCTTCTTTTATTTTTTTCGTTGGTGTTTTTTTATTCTTGTCTGTTTTTGGCGGTATTCTAATGTCTGAGAGAATAGTTATTTTTGACCTCTTTTTTTCTGGTATGTCGTTTTGCACTACTTCTTCACCACTGTTTGCAATAAAATTTCTTTCGCTTGTTATTTCACTAGTTTTACTCTTTGTGTTTTTCTTGGTTACGTTTTTATTTATGTCCCAGCTTGTGACAGATTTTCCAGCTGCGACATTCATTTTTTTATTTGTATTTCGCCTTATTGGGTTTGGATTCCGATTCTCTTTTAGATAGTCAAGTAAAGATTTATCTACGTCATAAGTGATCTCTTCACAGTATTCCGGAATTTTTGAATATACTTTCTGTGGATTATATGGAAATATGCCCGTTGCTCTAAATCCACTGATCAAGTTATCGGCTTTATTTAAGTTCACTTCTTCAATTAATTGTTTTAAAAGTATAGGAAAGTGGATTTTATTGAGAGACGTCTGCTTTGGGTTTTCTATCTTATATTTCATAAGAATTTTCCTCCACGTTCGTTTAAGTGGAGCAAAAAATGCAACATCCAGAGGCTGGGTTAAATGCGTTGAATTTGGTGGTAGTAACACGAACCTAATATTGTGACGCTCGCAAAGTTCTACCACATCTACGTTAATATGGCTTGAAAGGTTGTCTCCTATAACCAGCTTCGGTCCTTCCAGACGTTGAGCCCATGGTATTACTATTGTAGTGAACCAATCCATGAACATGTCAGAATCGAACCAGCCACTTTTAGTTCGATTATAACGCGCCCCTTCTGGACCTCCATCACACCATTGTGTCCACATATTTTCAGATTTATAGACGACGTACGGAGCTAAAAGATCACCACTGGCTGTTCCGGAAAACATTATAGAAATACAACCTTTTGAGTAGTTTACTGTTCTTTCCGGATACTTGATTCCCCGGCGAAAAATGCATTTGACTGCCCCCGGGTCATCGCTGACATTTGTTTCGTCGTAATTGAGTATATGGGTTGCCGGCAAATCTTCAACACAGCTCTTTAAATTTTCAAAGTAGATCTTAAAATCTTGAAGAGATTTTTCGGCTCTTGCTTTTTTAATGTTTTGTGTAGATCGCACGGTAAGCTTATCGTGGTGTCATTAAAAATGTACGCTTTATTTTTTTTTTAAGGTAATCAAATACAATCGGAATCGGAAATACGGAAATCCAACTGTGTCAATGGACATCCAAATTCAGATGCAACAATAAACACTTTTACAAATTGGAGCTCTTCTTCCTCTGTAAATCGGTACCGTGGACCAGGTTTGTTAGTGTGTAAGTTTTTTGCCCTTTTTTCTATGGTACGACGTGGTATTCCAAATTGTTTTTCTGCGTCATAAGATGACACATTTTTGTTACGGACCATTTCAACTGCAAGAGTGAGCATTTCTTCAGAATAGTTTTTGTAGGCCCTTGCTCCTATTTTCCTTCGGTTCCGTTTTTTAGGTTTAGGGCGAGTCATATTTTAATTTATCTGAAATAAAGTAAACTCGGTAAGTACTAACACCAAAAGCATTTTTTTTATGTCACAAGCCAAGCAGTAGCGGCGGTTATTTGGTGGCTCCAGGTCTTCAACTATATCCATGCAACAAATTACGTCGACCCATTGCACTGTTGCAATGCGATTAAAGGACAAACAAACAAACAAGCACACTTTCGCATTTATAATATTAGCATGATTTATTTATTTATTTAAACTTTTATGCACAAAAAATAAAATCGTACATATGACGGAATCTCCCAGTCAACCATTAGGCTAAGCAGAGAGAAAAACATGATGATGATGATGGATCTATTCCGCCTGCCGTATCAGATATAGGTTCCCATCAAGAATCGAACCCACGGTCTCTGAAATAGTAGATAGTGGCTTAACCACTGCGCCACAAAGGCGGTTTAAAGTGTTAGTACCTACAATATTATTATTATTATTTTTGGGGTATTTATGGAGTATTCTCATCTGGTTATGATAAATAAATGGAAATGATAAATATACACACATATTATTATTATTAGAATAAGTGTATTAATATTGTTATGTAAGTTGTAATTAGCTTGTAAGCCCTCCTAAAAGTAGATAAATAAAACATTTACGTATAGAAACGCGTAAAGTATAGTGACAACCCTAGGTACAGGTAAAGACGCCACTATACAAACTGTGGCAACTTTACCTCGCCTCAACTATCATTACCTATGCAAATTTCTCTTAAAATTATTAAGAAATTACCACTATAACAGCTGCCACGTCTTCTTAGGAAGGTTATATATAATATATATCAATTCTACTTACCTCAGCCAAGCAAATTCACAAGCACAATTAAAATTTCGACCAGAATTAGCTGCGACAAGTGTCCCGCGATTATCAACAAACGTTAATAACTTGTCATTGGACAGTGCTGCCAGTATAAAAAAAAATATGTGTGACCATAGGCTCATTACGAAACTACTAATGTGTCTATGAAATATCTACCAATAGTAGTTTCTGATAAAAATGATTTTTCTTATTACTTGTCAGTGGTAGGTAAAGATGACAAGGGAAGGTAAAGATGCCTTAGTTGACGGTACTGTTGCAGTTGTTTTATATTTATAATATTTTTATTTATAAGGGTTATTAAACTTTTTAACTCATATTGAATAGACATTTTTTCACAATTATTTTATTTCCAGTATATATTTAAATTTCTTTTATGGGAAGGTTATGTTTGAAAATAAACTAAGCTAATTTACATGAAAAGTAACGAACATAAAATATATTTGCATGTTAAAAACGGTAAAGTATGTAATAAAGTAAGCAGGTATGTGAGTTAAAGAATCGTTGATTTTGAACAGTCCTGACTTCAAGACTGACTATGTGCCATGATAAGTTTGTAATAATTATAGTACTTAGTCTGTAGCGTCTATTATTTTGTTATAATTAATATAAAAAGTCATTGATAATTGATAGTTTGGCCTTCTTAGGAACATTTTGGCCTTACAAAGAACGGACCCATAAGGCCATTTTAGGTTAAAAAAAAACTTTAATTTCATTATAAAACGCGTTGGGAAGTTATTTGATGTCAATATAATACTCATTAAAAAAAAAACTATAATTTCCACTAACTCTATTCCCTAAATAAACCTATATGACATAAACAAAGAATAATTATTATACTCGTCTCCTATTAAATATTATCTCCATTATTATCAATATATTTTTATCACCTCGTGTATACGCCAAGCAGGAACAACTGGTTTTTGACGCAGCGAAGTGGGCGGTGGCAAGACACGTCTTTTATTTTAATGCACTATTAGTTAATTATATATTACCGATTTACCGCCTATTGACTGCGCCAGTTGCTATCTAATATAATAGTGTCGCGTTATACATATTTTGTAGATTAAGGTGTAGCTTATCTGTCAAATTTTAGGTCTGCGGCTTGTGGTACACGGTAAAGTTTTCAGTAAGCTTATGTTGTACTATAATATATTTTCTGTATTATCTGTAATTTGTTAAATAAATAAAAAAAAATTACTACTATTTTTAAATAATTTCCATTAATATATTCTTAGTTATACGATGGTGTTCAAGTAATGTTCGTTGAGTTTTTTATAAATGATAAAAATATATTGAGCATTTAATGTTTCGCTTAAATGAAAAAGCTTATAATGTAGTTTTAGTAAAAGCGGATATAATTATTACAACTCTATTTTTAAGTTGAACGACTGATGTATAATATTGGCCTTGTTTGGAGCCGTGTTCCTTGCAAGGCCATTTGGAAGGGCTTAATAAAACTTAAGTTTAATAAATAGTGATTAAAGCTAGGTTAAAAAAAAGTGATTTCTATGGTACACAATAAAACAAATTATTACTTGATAATTTGTTTTCTTCATTTATTCAGTTAATAAACGAATAAAAAGTGTTTACTCGTTAGAGTGGCCTTCCATGGTCCACCCACCTTATTATTTGCCATGTGCCGTAAACGAAAACATGTAGAGGGTGAGATATCCTCTACATGTTTTCCTTTAAGGCACTGAGTTCCATAAATTGGCATTTTCTAGCTTCACCTATTAATGTGGTTATTAAATATCCCTAATAATATGATCGGTTTTCTCTACCACTTATATTTCTTACCGATGACGACAGGGGAGTCGAAAATACCAGCAGTTGTAAACTAAACGGCGCAAGCAGCCAAAGTTGCGATGTTTGCGATTTATAACTAAACCGGAAACCAATCATTACGGACTGAGATTAGAGCTCGGTATCCGCATCGCAATATCAATTGACCATGGTCATGGCCCGCCTTAGGGTATTAGTGTTCTGTGACCATGGTTAGTCGGTAATCAGCTATGATGGCTTACGTAGAGACTGCCAGTCCGCGGCGTAATTTTTGACAACGCGCACTGTGTACCAGGGTGATGCAACTTTGTTTGAAAGCTGAGAAATCTGCAAACAAACACAATCATGATTTTGTCAATATTTGTGTTGGGCTTCTAATAATTTAAAATTAAAAATTTTGTACAGCCGACTTCAATATAAGTTATTTAAGAATAACTTAAAAACTATTGGTCTGACCTTGATCAAATTCATATGGGACCACACGAGAAGTACCAGCTTTCAAATAAAAAAAGAATCATCGAAATCGGTTCACCCAGAAAAAAGTTCTGAGGTAACACACATAAAAAAAAAACGAAAAAAAAAAACATACAGTCGAATTGAGTACCGGCTCCTTTTTGGAAGTCGGCAGAAAAATATAGCTGTTTCTTTCCTTCGCGTTGCTTCAGATTCCTATTTTAAAAATTAGATACATATATTCATAATTATTATATCTGAAGAAACGGAAAATGTTAATTCTGTGCTATATTTCTTTTTTGTTTGCACCTTACAGTAATTATATACATATTATTACTTTGAGGTTAAATTAATTGATTAAAATTAAGTTATTAAATATTAGCAGAATTCTATCAAGAGAAGCCATGAATTAAAAGAAGAAAAATAAATGGCATTTATTTGTCAACGTCTTTCATATTGAAAATATTTTCTGAAATTGATTAAAATTATTTAATGGGTTTAGATTTTAATATTTGTTATTGCTTTTTGTTTCAATTCAGTTGTTATCGGTTCAGAATACTTTATTTTCGTTTGTAGGCGTTTCTTCGCGATTGTATCTGTAAATATTTTTGTGAGACGTTGACTCTATACAAAGAGATTAAATCTACTATATACTTAAATGTCTTTGACTCTTTATGAGATATTGACTATAAATTTATTATTAAAAAATTTATTCACGATGTTTGATCAGAATCGGAAGTAAATTAAGCGTTGTGCAAACAAAAAGGACAAAATCATCTAATCATTTTCTGCAGGTTTCCTACAATAGGAGAAGATAAACTTTTGACAATATTGTGGTAAGTCTTTAAGCTAAGCTTAAGCTAAGCTTTAAGCTTAAGATAAGCACTTTGAAGTTATTAGTAGGGATTATTACTATATTAACTGGAATTTTATCTGTTTGAGATCGTGTGTTTGGGCTGAGTTAAGTTTTCATCATGAGAATTTTGTTGATTTAAATTTACGTTGTTTTGTGAAAAATAATTCTCTGACAATAACATACGTTATATATCAGTAACAAGCGCGGAAATATTACGTGCAAAAGCAATAAAAAACATCAATAATAATAAAAAATGTATAAAACAATCTCTTCCAAAAAATAAAATTCGCAACTATACCAATTTTTAGTTTTATTTCGTACAATTTTTAGTTTTTAGTTTTATTTCATACTCCTCTAAAGTAAATTCGAGTAATTTTAATGCAAACCTCTCAAATGTATGGGAATTCACCTAATAGGTTTGTGAGGCTCGAGCCAAAATTACTCAAAATTGTCTTAAATAAAAAAGTTTAAAAGTTACAGAATACTTGGTTTGAAATTCCCGCTAAAAAGTTTTATATAGACATCCACCGTGGCGCTTTTAGTGTACACTCATAAACACGTGTTTCCTTTTTTTAGTATGAAGTTGGCATTCTTCTCTTGGTAGAGAGTAATTGTGTTCTGTGCTGCGTACAAAAGTCTGAGTAATAAAGCTCACTGAACTCTGTTACTTTGCCAACATCGATGACATTGACATTATGCGAGAGTAACCTGAGGAACTATATACACAGATCATCGAATGTGTGTTGTTCTGCGCTTGTTGTGCGTTTTAGTCTGTGATGGCTATGGGTATATGCCAAGACTAAGGGATTCACATGTCCTAACGATCAGATGTATCCTGGGTTCACAAATTATAAATTTGTATGCCTGGGTTGCAGTATCAGAGATACGTAACAACCTTTAATCACCTGATTAAAAAAAAACAAACCAATAATCTCTATTTTCATAAATTTTAGGATCTTTAGCTGAACAATCAGGTTATCTAACTATGTAACTGGTATACTGGTATACTTGAATTCATTTATAAGATACGTGCTTAGTTTGGAAATAAAACTCCTAGTATCTTTAATGCTGTTTAAGTGTAATTGACTAAAAGGTAAAGTTTATTCTAAACAAAAATACAGTTGCAGATATACCGTTCTGTTCAACTATCGATAGGTACCTACTTATCCATTTAACCCAATTATTCGTATTGTACCTAAATTGTTACACAAATAATAATCAACTGAAAAAATGTTTGTCATTTAATTTACGTTTTGACTGTTTATTGCACTCCAATAATAGATTCAATAGAAAATGATATTTTCGGTCGTGGTGGCGGCGGAGGTAAGGGTGCATAGTTAGTGAGCAGGGCGGCGAGTAAATGTGTGCAGAGCATCGCCGCCGGTGGAGTGGCCAGCGCGGGGCCGACTCCGGGAAGGGATTGCGGAACCTCCTTCTCCAGCTCTGCGTCAGCGAAAGCCTTCCGCCTCCGTACGCGTTCAGTCCATGCTGGATCGCTGCTGAGAAGTCTGATATTACCTAAAATTAATAAAAATAAATACTTACTTACAGCGTAGTTTTATTAATGAAAAAGAAAAACAATGAGTTAACAAACTTTTTCTATTTTTAAACGCCTTCAAAAAGGGATGAGGTTCTAAATTTCCAGTTAGGTCCACATTCGCATTTGATTTGGAGAAAAAATTGAGCTTGTAATATTCCTTAAAATAATTAATTTCATAAAAGTAAAAGCCGACTTCAAAGAACTGAAAAAGATAAAATCATTTCCACATCAGATTCTGAAATCGAAGATATATATTTTTCTATACACTGTTTTAGCACAGACTTCAGAAGCTCTTTATTTAAAACATTGATTACTAAATGACATATTATGTACCTAGTACCTACATTATAATTCGCGCATTACAGTTATTAAAGTAAATGGTATGGTTGGATTTCCTGTTCAAACTATCAAAAAAAAAAATCATCAAATTAAATTACTTTAAAAAAATAAATCAAAATTATTTGAAATTTTGTATGATCATGATACAACCTACCCAGTGGAAATATTCAATTCTTTGGAGCTATGCGGGTATGCGAAATGTCACCAGAGGATGGACTTAAAGTAAGAGTACCCCATTTATTGAAGAATAGGTATCCTGGATCTGACCTGACCACGTAGTGGCAGCGTAAAAATATTACCCCATATTATAGTCCCGTGGGTATCGTAGGATGTGACAGAGGTTTTATGTTGTTATCAGAAAGACGTGTCTGCCCAGATGGGCATAACAACAAATTAAAAACTGCGGTTGCTAAAACGCCTGCCAAGACTGGCCACTATGACTAAAAATAGTATTTTATGCAATTTATGGGAGAGGCATATTCAGCGGCGGACTTTTGATATACAGTAATTAATGAACGAACCTGGATGCAACTAGATTATGCAATGGATTTAAAATGCGAGTCATTCAGCAATGAGAAGAATTGTTAAGGCCATAGTGTTGCAACGCTTGGCGGGCGGGTTGGAAACCGCATTTTTTAATTATTTTGAATTGTTATCAGAAATATGGAGCCTATCTCCTGTTTCATCTCCCTCTGCCGCCTCTTACGACACCCACGGGATGACTTACGCCGCCACGCCACTACACGACCAACTTTTAGTTTAAATAAGTTCACTAATAAAAAAAAACTCTGGCTTTTAATTAAACGCGAGCGAAGCCGCGGCTTTAAGCAAGTGGAACATAAACTTGTAACGGCTAACGCATTTGGTTGAAATTTTAATATTTGTTATGTAAGTAGGTATGATTAAGTAGTGTTGTCGTTTGTTTCTTGCAAATAAAAATTATGAAATGAAAGAAAGCAACGATACTTATTTTTAGCGTGTAAGAACTAAAAAAGCCACAAATTTGATAGTCTAAATATGAGTGGTACGCGTACCCCTAGGGGTACATAAGGCACTGTTGTTCACACTGATAGTTTCAGAATAGAGATAAGACAAAGCGTATGTTGAGCAATTATTCTTTCATTACAGCCCGTTGAAAGTTCCCTTTGTTTACATAGAAGAGGGGGCAAACGGGCATGCGGCTCACTTGTTGGTAAGTATCGACTGCTCCCCATAAACAACTGCAACACCAGCGAATTGCAGGTGCGTTGCCGGCCTTTCAATAGAAGTAAGCGCGTTTTTAAGGTCCTTAAGTCGTATCGGTCCGGAAAAATCGCCGGTGGTAAACGATTCCATAAAGTAGTCGTGCGAGGAAGAAACCTCCAAGTAAATCGCATAATAATGGACCGCCAAGCATCCAGATGATGTGGATGATAACCTTATCTTTGTCATGATGTGCGTTGGTGGAATATGGTGGCTGGAATTAATCCGAACAATTCCTCAGGGCACATCCCAAGAAATAGGTACGATCACCCTGTACGCCCGCCAGATCATTCACAACATTCGACTGGGTTACATTCGATCAAGGTATGACATTCGTGATACATACCTATTACCAATGTGATACACATACCGCAACCGTGCAAAATTCGTCACTAGCCATCTCTACCCGCTAGTTAACAGCAAGAGCAAACTGTCCTTATGACACAAGCTCCATCTTTATAAAGCGTGTGTAAGACTTACCATGTATTACGCAAGCGTAGTTTTCGTGTACGCGAACCATAGTCATTTGTACGACCTCCAAGTTGTCCAAAATAGATTCATTCGCATAGCCACCGCAGCTGGAGGGTACCAGCAAAACTCAGACTTACACAGAGACTGTCAATTTCTGATGATCTCGGGAATATATTAAGGATATGTCTCGGTGCTATTTCGAGAGGGCCGAGATACACCTAAACCCGCTATTGGTAAGCGCAGGCACCTACGCCCCGACTCCGAACGTTACGCAAACCCTCCGGAGGCCCCGAAATGTTCTAATCGAACCACCTGTTCGGCTAGATCCTGACGACCGAAATGTCGTCGGCTAGTCACACTCAAACACTACACATTCACCTGGTGCCACAAACACTGTTAGGACAACAGCGGATGGGACGCAGCGAGTCAGCGTCCTAAAATTAAAACCTACCTAATACTCAATAGCGAACAATTAGTTTATGTTTCTGCCCTGTATGATGGTATAAGTATATAAACTAGGAATACTTAGGTAGCCCGGATGATCCCAGCGTTGTTGTGGGAAAGGAACTATTTATTCCATCATCTGTGGTACCTATCGGAGGCAGAACCCAGCCATGGTTCGGTCGCTCCTGCAAAATTGCATTACGCCATAAGCAAGAGTGCTACCAGGCATGGGCTCACGCATCGACGTTTCGGGATGCAAATACCAGCGCTCTTAAAAAGAAGTATAATTCCGCCTCCAGGTCCTTCAAAATGTTATTGTCAAGGCAAAGTCAGAGAACATCGGCAGAATTGGACTGATTCATATTGAATTGAAACATGTACATTCTGGTCTCTCGCCAAGGCTGTCCAAGAGAACTTCTGTCGGCCATCTCTCCCATCACTGCACAAGGAGGACGACTCACTGGCCCATGCCGCAAAGGACAAAGCCGATCTGTTGGGCTCTCTCTTTGTGTTCAACTCCACTCTTGATGACGGGGGAACACACCGCCGACCATACCGCGGTGTGAATGCTCCATGCAGGATGTGCTGTTTACCCAACGTTCGGTGTGCAGAGCACTCCTCTCCCTGGACGTCAACAAGTCGAGTGGGCCTGCTGGCGTCCCTTCTATTGTGCTGAAGACGTGTGCTCCAGAGTTGGCATCGATTTTAACGCATCTTTTCCAGTACTCCTACTCCCTAGGCATAGTTCCGAAATGATGGAAGACAGCTTCATACACTCGATCCCTAAAAAAGGTAACCGCTCTGATCCGTCCAACTATAGGCCTAACGCCATCACCTCCTTGTTGTCTAAAATAATGGAGTCCATTATTAACAACCAGCACATGCGGTACCTTGAGGATCACCAGCTGATTAGTGACCGTCAGTACGGTTTCCGTCGCGGTCGCTCGGCCGGTGATCTTCTTGGTTACCTAATTCATAATGGGCGGAGGTAGTAGAGTCCAAGGGGGAGGCATTGGCCATTAGTTTGGGCATAGCGAAGACCTTCGATCGGGTTTCACACAAAGCGCTTATTGGCTTCCCGAGAAATTGTGCAATTGGATCACCAGTTTTCTTGCAGATCGAAGCATCAAGGTCGTAACTGTAGACGGTGCATGCTCCGATTACAAGCCCATTAACGCTGGTGTTCCACAAGGCGGCGTGCTATCGCCAACGCTGTTTATTCTGCATATCAATAACACGTTGCAAACCGGTAACATTCATTGCTATGGGGATGACAGCACTGTTGATGGTCTATACACCGGCCGTGCCAATATTTCTCGGGAAAACATCGCCGAGTACCGGGACAAACTTGTGTGACGATTTCATTGAAATATTTCAGGACATTTTGAAATTGGCAATGCCAGACTGGGTGTTAGATCCTTTTTCAAATGTCAACATAGCATTATCACCCCAACTGGAAGAAGAACTTATAGAACTGACAACGAATGAGGAAATATTTTTTTATATTATAAGGATGACAAATGAGCACACAGTCCACCTAATGGTAAGTGGTTGCTGTGGCCCATAGACATCTACATCTATCTTCGTTTGCGAATTAAAATGCAGATGCGTTGTCAGCCGTGAGGACTAAGACAGAATGCCTCTTTTCCAGTAAAAAGGGTATCCGGTTCTCTACACTCACCATACAAAACACAGCAGCTATTTTACGCTGCTATTTTACGCTGGTATTCTATAAGAGCGTGGTCCTTCCCCGGTCGAGCCGACTCATTCGTGATACAACTGTACTATTAAAATAGCTGCAGCATGACTCTACCACGTAAGCACCACCACCACGTAATAAAAATCAAATTTAAAAATGGCTACCAAAAATTTTGGCTACAAAAGTCAATGCCGCAGTGGTCGATCGTTCAACGATTTTTGATAGTATTCCCATCGTCATTTGTGTGAACGTGGATTTAGCGCTGTGACAACGCTGCTTACTAAAAAAGAAATCGTTTGCATATTGCCGAACGCGAAGACTTACGACTGTTTTTGAGTAAAATTAAACCAGATATCAACAAACTTATTAAAGATCATCATATTCATCCATCTCATTAGATTAGTTTTAAAACTAAAATTGATTACCTATCTATATTGTTTCTTTTAATTTGACTAAAATATATTCTTAATATTATAAAGTTGCGTTTTAATTGCTCTCACTGGTAATAATGTCTAGTTTATAATGTAAGTTTAAACAGTAGAACCAACTAATATAGCACACCATAACTAAATTAATTAAAGCGTTTTTAAGTTTTTAGGAGTGTATAAAAAATTGATAATCAAAGGGCCGCCCCCTTTGAATATCAATTTTAAAAGAAATAAGTTTGATAATCTCTGAGCTACAGCGTTAACATCACAAAAACTAGACTTATTTCGCCGACGCTATTTTTATAAATATCTAAACTTATTGCATACCTAAAACAATATTTTATCATAATTAAACATAGCCTATGTCACTTTGGAATATTGTAGCTTTTATCGCTAAAATGCACCTGATTTAGAGGTTTTCATATTAAAGGCTTAGGTTATAAGATATTCTGTCATCTCATCTCAAAGGTTTTAAGTTATCTTTGTACCTAATACTAAATTACCGTTAAATTTGGTTTTTATAACATAGTATTAAGTATTATGTATTAAGTACTATAACATAGTATTATGTAGTATTAAGTACTATAACATAGTATTATGTATTAAGTAGTTAAATTGTTTTTCATCGGAGTGGGTATAATTTGTTAAAAAATTTAAACTGACCTTTAAAATGATACAAAATCTATTATTCTTTCATTGGGAACATTCTCTAGACAAACATTGTGAATTACAAATTCTACATGGGACTATTACTTGCTACTTTAAAGTTAGTGTTAAATAATTTTAAACGAATTCATTTCGGAAATATTGGTAGACATAATTTTTGGCACCGGCTGAGCTATCATTCAACCAGGCGGAAAGACATGTTTACAGTCAACAGTACGGAGCTGTAACTCGACACCCCGACAAAGAGCCGCCCCTGCATTTTCTTGTAAAACAATCTTCACATTTTTTACAGCCGTAAAAATAGTTTAAAGATATTCACTTTTTTTAATAGACAGTGAAATGTTGCCGAGTCTTAGATGACAGCTTTTGTTCTTTAATGAAGCAGGGACATTTAGACGCGTCGTTCAAATTTTATTGCGCCTGTGCTGTGGTGCTCTATTTTTAATTGTTTGAAGAGTATCTTTTTACACGAAATATACTTATACAAGGGTATCTGTATCGCTTTAAAACAAATGCGTCTTAAGATGTTATTATGGATATACAGCCTAGACATAAAAATGAATGAAATATTTTAAATACCATCCGTACGATGCCTAATGAAAATCAGAGGTAGTAGGTAATTATTGATTTCCAATTGTATTTCGGTGTCTAAAAGTTACCTATAAATAGCAAGTATATTATTAATAATTACAGACTGTGATCTGAGATATTCCAATTTCTATCTTAGGCGTCAGAGGTGCCAACTTATCTGTAGCTTTCTTTGTTAAAAGTAGGTTGGTTTGTTTGTCATATAAAATAAAAAAAAAATCATATAAACTTTGCATATCTATAACAAAATAAAAACGTTCTACTTCAGTTGTTATAATAGCAGAAGTGTTGTAAGTAGTTAAAAGCTTTACAAAATATTCAGAAACCCAGTGATGTTCCAAAATAAATATTTGTCCAGCTAATTTGCATTTAGCGTTTCACAGGGAGAAACGAAACACACGACAGAGTCGACTCGTTTACAACAATAACAAAACTTGGAGTGGTGCACGACAAGTCCGATATTATCGTGCTTTGTCTAGTAACTTTATGGTATCTCCTCATGGTATTATCACATAATACTATTATGTATTACACAGTAGTAGTTACAAGTAGTATTATGAAGTTAAGTATATTGTCGTTGCTACAGGTACTTACAAGAATTAAGGCCATGTTTTCAATCAAGACAGTCTGATATAAGTCTTAATGGGTTTTTAAAACAATAAATCATGTTTTTAGGAAAAACTGGAAAATTAATTATTCATAATATTATGCAGCTTATAATTTATTTGCAGCCCAGTCCTAATCCTTTTAACACTTAACATGCCTATTGATCTATTGTAACTGTGATTACAATTTATTGATTTAATACACAATATCAAAAAACTATATTAAAAAAAAAACTAATAAGTTAATTATCATACAGTCCTACTCCCTTTGATATTGTGCCAAGAACGCTGGCTGCGTTTCCTCGCTGAGTAGCTGTACTTAGCCTGTGAGCGAGAAAAGAACCAGCCCTCTTATCACCAGCAGCGACGACCAGTCGCGGATACAGTTCCTTTAGGAACTTCACCGCACGTGGACCCCACAGACCGATAGTCTCTACAGCAAATGGCACAAATATGTAGTCATCTCTCAGAGACTCATATTTGCGCCATTTACTCAGTTCAAATGCCTCTGATGCCGCCTCGGCTCTAAACGAGGTACCTACCCCTGAGATGAGAGGCCGCCAAAGTAGTGTCTAAGTAACATCCCACACTAGCGCGTTTTGATTTAAATGGAATAAAATATTACCTATGTATAATGATCCTAAATCATTACTTACATTACTTATTTCAAAGGAGATCATTGTAGAAAGAGAAGAAGTTTGTTAATAAACGATTTAGTCTACAATGAGACACTCGCATCGCACTGGTAGCATAACACACCAAGTATTACATTTCAAAACTTGAGAATTTTGCTGACCCATACTTATTTTTATGCGGAAGGGGACGTAGTTTTTATATCATATATATCTGTATTATATTATACACACTTACTCGATATTTTGTTATTCGATACTGGCTGGGTCAAGAGTAGAACTAGGCGACCTGGAGTTTTTAAATAAATATCTACATCTATACAAATAAATCAAACATAAGTGTATTTCTGTACTATTGAAATAACTGGCAGCTATTAAGCTCAGGGAGTTTTTGTTTTTGTTTTGTTTTTTTAAAAAGCTCAGGGAGTTATTTGCAAACTATTAATACATAAATAACCGTTTTAAAAATGTTTGTCTGTCTGTTGTCTTCAGAATGGCTGAACTGATTGTGATGTAACTACAAACAGAGAACTTAAAGAGTGAAATGCCAGGATGGATCTAGACTATATTTTATGAGAAAAACTTAAAGATATTATTTTAGAATTTTTTTTAAAACCTATGGTCTGTGGATTGTCTTAAATCTAAGTAACAGCTAATAATAGATCCTATCCAAGCGAAGGCGACGCAAGTCCCTAGTAATAAATAAAATTACTGTAAAGTTAAAAACATAAACATATTTTAATGTCAATATGCGCACAACTGCTACTGGAATGGATAGTCAACTTTTTTTTGCTAAGCAAACAAAACCGAGAATATAATCTCACTAAAGATATTTCACGGAATATAAAAGGTTGTTTATTTTTATTGGCAACTTTAGAAACTGTCTAGGGCAGCTGTTATTTTTATCACTGGATTTTATGCACTGAGTATTTTTAAGCACTTCTAAGACATCTGAATGCTCAGAATACCTACAGATTTCAAATTATTTAATGTGCATCTTATGAAACGATAAAAAAAATTCTTATAAGATAGGTTTACGAGGTCAAATCTAATGTTTATAGTTAGTATAACACATGGAACTAACAAAGGAACTGAGAGGCTTACAGTTTATAAGTAAACACTTACATCCATCCTCGGTGAAGAATCAAGATATTTTTTTATAGAATTAGGGTGACAAACGATAAACGATCTCACATTCCACCTGATGGTACGTGGATGCTGAGGCCCATAGACATCTACATCTATCCTCGATTAAAAATCAAAATGCAGATGCGTTGTCGCCCCCGAGCACTAAGATGAAATGCCTTGTTTCCAGTAAAAATGTGTCTCCGGTGCTCTACACTAACCATACGAAACACAGCAGCAATAACCTGCTATTTTAGGCTTGTATTCTGTGAGAGCGTGCTCCTTCCCCGGTCGAGTCGACCCATTCGTGCTACAACCATAATATAGCGTGGCTCTACCACGTCTAAAATATAAATAAGTAGTAATATAGTGCAAAGATATATAACCTATTTGATTTAGAACTACGAATACCGTCTTATTTTGTGTTGTACTAACATTATTTGTCAAAATCTTGGATGCTTACCATAAGTTGGTGGCGGTACAGGATAAGCTCGGGACATCTGCATACAACGTAAACGAGCCCGGTACGCTCTCTTGCGAGCAGCTAATGCTGCGGCCTCACCACCTCGCGTTGTTCCCGCACCCTGCTGACGACGAAGCGCTACCTGTTACAAACGAGGCATTTGTTAAATTAAAATCTACCATTAATAAAATGTCGATAGAATTTCTTTACAATTTCATACTGATATCTTAAAATAGAAGTATCAAGTTAATTTTAATTTATTACTAGCGATCCGCCCCGACTTCGCATGATGATTTCTGGATCTCGACAACAGCGCCATCTAACGGGTTCAAATGTGAATCTAAACCATCTAGGGACCCATTCAAACACACAAAAATTCATCAAATTAGGTTCAAATTGGTCAAGTATATATATATATAAAAAAATTACGTATAAATATAGGGACTAGCTTTTACCCGTGACTTCGTCTACTTATAACTCTTGCGGGCAAGTAGTTCAACTATTGCAAAACCACTTCAAACTCGGTTTTCTGACTATTATCTTGAAAACTATTTAAATTATTTATTATTTAAAATTAAATGAGAAAAAATGAGCATCTTTTGATTTCACGTTTAAATTAAAGTTAAAATGGCAGTCCTTACACGTCCCACTGCTGGCCACAGTCCCACTGCTGGCATCCTCTCATTTCTGAGAGGGTTTTAGGCAAGGAAATGTCCGCCGCGCTGCCCCAGTGCTTGTTGGCGGACCTCACATCATTTCTTCGATATATTTTTTCTTATTTCCAGACATGCAGGTTTTCTCACGATGTTTTCCTTCACCGCTTCACCACCAAGCCCGTGGTAAATAAGCATTTAAATTGCAATTAACAATTTTATTGGTGCCGGCGGAGATCGAACTTCGAGTTGCGATGATGCATCAAGGCATCATCGTAATATTTAAGTAATATAATATATAATTAACATATTTTATATATATATATATACTAATATACAGATATCTTTCGAAAAATATCGCAAGGTTGTAAGAGAAATGAACGTTTCCTTTGGTCATCTCGGTTACGAGGAACGCGAGTAGTGTGCTCCTACATAATTCGCATAATGAATGTTCTCAAGAAAGTTGTGAACTGTGTATTCAATATGAAAAACAAGTTGCCCTACGCACAAACTAGAGAAGAATACCAAAACGACAAGGAAGCATTTTGTACCGACAATGATTTTATTTACTTTCCCAAAGTTGTTATTATATAATTAGAGTAAAAGAAAACACTTAAAGTGGTCTGAAAGGATTTAGTTTTTATTTTTAGGAAGTAAAGTGATATTTTTGTAACATTTTTCACAACAGGTAATTTTAAAAATTAACATTTTCATACGTAGTAATTTTGTTTCAATCATTTTTCATATAAACAGATTAAAATATTTTACTAATGAAAACCGCAATAACTAAGACATTCATTGCACTTATGGTTGGAAGAAACTACAGGTCATACAGTTTGTGCTCTACTCAAAAGAGTAATAATTTGTCGGTTTACTAACAATACCTAACTGTAATAAGTAGTACCTATACTTATTGCGGTTATTGTTAGTCACGCTCTATCAAAACAATTACCAGTCCTAAGATCATCATCAGATCATTATTGTGTTTTTAATGCCTATATAAATGTGTATAAAAACATAATATACTACACAGAATTCTGCACCATTTCATCTGTCATATAGTAAAAGTTTCAAGTCAATAGCTATCATGGTTATAAAGATACACACAAAAAAAAATAAAATCTTTAATTGCGATTATCTCGAAAATAGCCAAAACCAAGTTTTTGCACTCTTCATAGGAATGGCAGAACAGTTCTAAACTTCGCAACCACATTTCATGACCTTATCCTAATGCAAAAAAGCTAATGCTCATCAGTGACTTTCTGAGTTTACCGTTGCTTGTTACTTTTAAAAACCTATTAGGTACTATGTTAGTAAGTAGATACTATGTAATCAAGGTCCAAAAGTGGGCTGCAAAAGATCAAGAAGATCACATATCTTCGAAATACATAGGTATATATCTTTTCTTATTTCTCAGACATGCAGGTTTCATGACATGCAGGAAACAAAAGCAATGAAACATTTTATCAATACGTTATGAAAGTTGGGTGTGGCAGAAGAAGCATGAGAGTAGAATAAATGCTGTAGAAATGCGGTCCTTAAGGAGTATACTAGGGCTGAATCTGAATGACAGGGTGAGAAATAGTGTGATAAGACAAAAGTGTGGTTTGCAAGATGACGTTGTGACAAGGATTAAGAAAGAAATGCTTCGGTGGTTTGGTCATGTAGAAAGAATGAACGAGGAAAGAATGACAAAGCAAATATATGTTGCAGAAGTGAACGGCAGGGTCGGGAATGGACGCCCTAGACGAAGGTTTATCGACCAAATCGGCGATACATCAAAAATGGGCCAGATTAGGAGTACCCTTAACCGACGAGCGTGTATGCGTAGATATATGGATGTAAAAGAGGCGAGAGAGGTGTGTCAGGATCGCGCCAAATGGAAGTCCGTAGTCTCTGCCTACCCCTCTGGGTGACAGGCGGGAGTGTTTATGTATTATGTATGTATGTATGTTATGAAATAGGTAGTTACTCAAAGTTTTGTAAGAAATTTTGTATGAAAGCTAAAGCTGATTATTTAAGCAATAAAATGTTTGTTTATTATGCCAATAAAACTAAAGCTACATAGAATGTAATTAATTTTGAAACTGGCAAATTAATTTTAAGGAGAAGGAATTTGCCTTAAAAATAAGTGGTAATACTGTAAAAGAAAAATCTCTTTGACTGTGAGACATTCGTGAAGCTGCACTTAAGCATTAGGTACAGGGGCGTAGCTCCGCCGTATCAGTCGTATCAATGATACGGGGCCCCCGGGCTACTGAGGCCCCGAACGTATGTAATAAAAAATTCTAAGGACTTCTATGGGACAGGACATTTGAATTGTTTGATTAGCTAAGTTCCTAGGAGTATTAATTGTAAGTAATAACTCTTATAATCAATATATAATTATTTAATTCAATGCGAGAGCTTTTGTTCCTTTTGTGAAAAATCTTTACCCTTCATTTGGGCCCCTCGACAAAAAGTTTGATACAGGGCCCCTCTAAGGCACGCTACTCCACTGATTAGGTACTATAATCTATCAAACGGAGAGCAAAAGGTTGCAATAAACGGCGTAGTTAATAACCTTTTTTGTACTTGTATACCTTATTATCTTCCTGATATGGTATAAAAATTTCTGCGCTAGTTCTTTATGCGATAATACCTGATTATTATTTGAAATTAAAAGTTAAGCTTGTCCTTCAATGCGACTCACTTTTCCGTAAGAGCAATGTTAGGTTTACCTCACCAATAACTAACTAACTAAGTGATTTCCGGGATTGATAAACTACACTACCTATACATACATAATTAAGTTTACACGAAACCAACACGAGTTTTTTTTATATCGTCGTAGCGAATATTTTTCTGAAAATCTCCCATATATTTAGTGCCTTCGCATATTTTCGTGACTGTGCAATGACGGTGTAAGAATATTCACTACTCTATATCATGCCATGAGTGTCGTAAGAGGCGACAGAGGGAAACTAATCAGGAGATGGGCAGTAGCATCTTCCTAATAACGACTAAAAATAAAAAAAACTGCGGTTGCCAACCCGCCCCTATAAGGCAATCCATGGGAGAAGTAACTGTAACTGTAACTGTAACGGTAACGGTAGCATATTTTAGCAGTAATAGGTACCTTCGATAGAGTATCTAGAAGCCAATATGGAACTGACTTATTTATTCACTAGCTGATACCTGCGACTTCGTCCGCGTTGCTTACACACGTCACTGCTTATAAAAATCGTGGTTTCTTAAAACTTTAATAACTTTATATTAAATGAAGATATCGCAATAATTTTAATAGTTTTATTTTAAATTTTATAATTTAATAGATAATGGTCAAGTGTCTAAGAAATAAAACTTGGAAAACCTAATTGAAAGCTATCCAGTAGTTTTTCAGTAGGTAATGCGCGCACAACTGCAAACCTCTATAATTTTATTTAGATATATATATTAGATTAGATTATTTACAAATATCTTATTACTAACTATTCACACCTTAAATATTGGGCACAAGCAATGGATGGACTCTTAATGCCTTGTGGCATTTTTTTAAGTCACTGGAGAATTGAAAAAATGTTTCATTATTACTATAGGACTTCTTTCATTACCGTTAATAGATATACCTACCCTTATTTTTCAAAATTACCCGACTTGACAGATCCATTATTCTTGCTCCATTTATTCTATTAGTAGCTTTTTACGAGAGATTTGGTACTTTCATCCAAAATTGATTAAAATTATGAAGTTTGGAAAAAGAGTTATCAATTTAATTTAGGTTCTGATAACTTCGATACATAAATTTGTTTTAATTTTTTTAAATGATTGTATGTTTACAATATGAAAAACATTGTGGCCTACTATAATATTTCTCTTCTTTTTATTTTTATTTAATAAGCACTCTACTTGTAATAGGAGGTAGTCCTTAAAGTCTACAAGAAGTGTAGATACATAATATGGTAACTTATACCTATATTGTCTTCAAAAATATGACTTGTAAAATAAAAAAACGAACAATTATTGAACTGCTGCTCAACTTAAAATGGCAAACATAAATAGGTAGTAAAACTTTTACTATAGAGAGAAACTTACCAATTCAAGGCATTCAATAAGTAAATTTTGGAATTTTATATAGGCAGGTATTGCTTCTCTATAAACTTACCTGAGCAGCCATGACTCTTTGTCTCTCCAGCACTAACAAACAACCTGGACAGCGGCAGTCACGCCATCGGCACAAGCGTTTGTGTCCCTTCAGACACGAAATGACCCCATGATTGCGGCACCTTGCACATTTCGGTGTTCGTAGAGCTTTTTTCCCGGCACTACCATTATCCAATTCACAGTTACTTTCGCTTTGCATTTTCAAAATTAACGTTTCATAATAAAAATTAATACACGTCATATAAATATAGTATAAAAATATTGAACACCGCAGACATGTTCTCACTGAAATATCTCTTAACAAATTGACGTCTGCAAAGTTGGTTTCAAGTTTAAAAACGTCGTCAGATGTAACTAATGCCCCGCCTTTAAAAGCTCGCTATTGGCGAATGATTTAAGGGGCGGGTGGTACCTAGCACGGCCTGTTAAACTGAAAAGTTGCATAAGTTAGGCTTCTTGTACTATTATGTATGTATTTATTCTGTGGTTAGGCTACATTCATATTGTTTTCAAAATTAATTTTGAAAACAATATGACTGTTCAAAATTAAATAGGTTGTGTCTAACTGATTGTTTAACAAATTAAGTACTGGCCCAGAATAAATAATAGTATCTAAAGTACCTATCTACTGGTGTATGGAGGTATACTTAGCTAATGTTTAAACATTTTTATAGGCTTTATGCTCAGACGCGTGGATAAATATACTGACTGGCTAACAAATTCGTAGCGGAGTGGCTTAGAATTAGCATTGAGTTACGACGCTGAAGGCCGCGGGTTCGCATCCCGCACGGAACAAATATTTGTATGCACAAATAATTCGTCGCCTACGCCGCAAAGGGGCGAACCTCATACAAACGGTCAAAAATGAGTTAAATATACAAAATTGCTCCATTGTTGGAGATCTATGTCATCTCAATCGGGCTAAGCTCTAAGTACAAAAATAATGAATTTAAAGTGACGGCGTATGTCAAAAACAGTTCGTGTGAGATTTTACGATAAGACAAAGCTCGTAACCCGTGCGCAATCACCTTTGCGCAGTAACACACCTTGGTAACAACTAACTAAGCATGCGCCCTTTTGTTGCGATTCGTAATCGTTTGTTATTTTACACACAACAAAACAAATATCATACTCACAAAAGCTGTTGGTGCATACTGTAGTGTTGTGTAGCAAATTGTAAAGAGACAAATCGCCACTGTACCTAACGTTTTATAGATATTGACCGCAAAGTTATTTACACCGAACATGTGATACGTCTTTGAAAAAGAATTGTTTATTTTACGACACATGTGAATGTGAGCCAAAACAGCGAACGCTATTACTACTACCGGGTGGCAAAATTATAAGGCGTAAAAGATCTATCTCTAGAAGGCCAAAAATACCACGTGTGCATTATAAGTACATACTTTCATTTTGATCATATTTTCTATGTTTGAACATATTGTTCGTATTGTTTTGATTATGTCTAGTCAGACAGGAATCATGCGTCAAGATAATTGAGGTGGTCATGTAGAAATACGCAAACACAGAGACTATTACGCGGTAGAGCCACGCTGCAGCTATATTATGGATGCAGCAGAATTGGCCGAGTCGACCGGGGTCTCACAGAACACTAGGGTTTCATACGGTGAGTGTAGATAACCGGAAGTTTACTGGAAACGAGACATTCCATCTTTATCTTTAGGCGTGACAACACATCTGTGTTTTAATTCCTGATTGAGGATAGATGTAGACGTATAGGTCGACCGAAATTGCCATAGCTGTATCTATCTTCTTAAAAAAGCAGGACGTAGAGACTACTGACGCTTGTATGACAACGAATGTGCGGGACGAAATAAAAAAAAAAATATTGTCGCTTCTGTTTAACTATATCTATTGTATTGATAATGTGACACATTTGCAAAACGTCACTTTTAGATCACTTGTTCCAAAACACGGTCAGAATGAAGGTGACTCTGCGCATAGTGCCATAAGTCAGTCCATCTCAGTCGTATCCCATTATCAAAATGGCAAGATCTTCACGCCCGTACATTGTTCAACCATTAGGTACAATACTTTGAATTTAAATACTACAAAGAGTTATCTCAAAATATAAAGATGCTAAGTCTACGGAAAGACAATAAATCTGGTACTTCCATTAACTGGACAAAAGTAGTATCTAGAGTTTAGAGTAGACAAAGAAACGTCTATGTAAAACATTACATTCATGCTTCGTAGATACGGGTATATTAGATACCTACAGTCAAGAGAAAGCATGCTAAATTCTTAAAGGAACCTTTTAAATCCATTCAATAATTCTCTAATTAAAATACCTAATGTCCTCCAGACCGAATTTCAGTCTAGACATCAGCGCAGGACAGGATTATAGTGCCCAAGTAGGTATATGCGCAAGTGAAGGTGCATTCTCTATTCCCTCACTATCATTATAAGACATCAGGCGCAGGACAAACGACTGTACGTGATTTCCAAGGCACGGGGATAAGACACCGCTAACTTTCTGACTCCGGTCAGCTATTTAGAATTTCTTAACGGAATAACACATTACTTAACTGATTTTTTCAGCCCCACCCGGAATTCGAACCTAGGACCTCATGATCACCAGTGATCACACTGATCACACATGACTTCAGTAATCACGTAATAACATTTTAATGCCAAAGTTACAATTTATATTATTAGGTATATATGTAGGTACAAGTAACTCAGTAAAAGAGCGTAACTCTAAGAGAACAATAGAGAAAAAGGGAGCCCGGGCAAAACGAAACGCAACGATAAAGCGTTTCTCTTTTCAGAGTGAGGCTGCTGACGTGGCCCTAAATCGGTATCCTACTGCACAGTTGGCCTTTCTGGGAGACTTTAACGCTTGTCACCAAGACTGTCCCCATACTAGAAGACCGACCATGCTGTAAGAGAACCGTGGAATTTTCCTTTGACGCTAGGTCTTTCTCAGATGGTAAAGGTGGCGACTGGGGTACCCGATGTAGAGATTTTTACGTGGTAGAGCCATGCTGCAGCTATATTACTGGTATAGTTGTAGCACGAATGGGTCGGCTCGACCGGAGAAGGACCACACTCTCACAGAATACCAGCGTAAAATAGCAGTTTAATGCTGCTGTGTTTCGTATGGTGAGTGTAGAGAACCGGAGACCTTTTTTAGTGGAAAAGAGGCATTCCATCTTAGTCCTCACGGGTGACAACGCATCTGCATTTTGATTCGTAATCGAGGATAGATAGATGCAGATGTCTACGGGGCAACAGCAACTACTTACCATCAAGTGGACTGTGTGCTCGTTTCTCACCCTTATCCTATAAAAAAGACGGTCACACAGCAAATTGCTTGGACCTTCTGCTGACTACCGAACCAGACAGATATGAAGTACAAGTTACCTCTCTTTGGGTACATCTGACCACTGTCTGGTGAAATCTGTATCGTCATATTCTCCACCGAGTCCCAAGGTGTTCGACGAATATGGCGGTATACGTCAGCTGATTGGGATGAGATGTGACACTTTTTTGCTTCTTATCCTTGGCGGGAGGTCTGTTTCTCTTCTGCGAATCCGTCGAGCTGCGCGGTTGCGAAAACGGATGTGTTGCGTCAAGCTATGGAGTATTTTATCCCCTTCTCTGACGCTACCACGGGTAGCAAAGCTCGCCCATGTTTTAACGCTGAATGCGCCCAAGCTGAAAAGCGTAAGCATATCTTTCCTGGGTTGACGCTTGAAACCGCCAAACTCCGAATATTAGCTCCAAGAAGAGAACTTTCAACCAGACCGCTAACTCCTACAAAAAACTATTACGGAAAGCTAGTTTCGATCGCATTAAACATATTGGCGTAAAACTCTCTGCCAGACCATCTGGCACTAGAGCTTTTCGGTCTCTCGCCAAAGCGGTCGAGACAAACTTATGTCGGCCTACACTGCCTCCGCCGGTGAAACCGGATGGCACACTGGCGAATACGGCTAAAGAGAAAGCGGACCTGCTCGCGTCTCTTTTTGCCCACAATTCAGGTCTGAACAGTGGCAACAACGTTCCACCAAAATTACCTCACTGCGGGATCTCTATGTCGGAGGTTCGTATAACAAATAACGAGGTTCTTAATAGCTTGCGGTGTCTAGACGTGAATAAAGCTAGTGGACCAGATGGTATACCAGCTATAGTTCTAAAGGCTTGTGCACCTGAGTTGTCTCCTGTGTTGACACGCTTATTCCGCCTCTCATTTAGGACTGGAATAGTGCCAAAATCCTGGAAGCTGGCCAACGTGCAGCTGTTCCAAAAAAAGGCAGCCGTGCCAATTAACGGCCAACCTCAATTACCTCCATACTCTGCAAGATTATGGAGCGTATATTGAACGCCCGCTTAATGGCATACCTAAAACATAATGACATCCTTAATGATCGATAATATGGGTTTCGCCGAAATCGGTCAGCTGGGTAGCTTCTAGCGTATGCTACACACGTTTGGGGCGAGGCACTCGAGAACAGTGGGGAAGCACTTGCTATTTCCCTTGATGTCTCGAAGGCCTTTGACAGAGTTTGGCACACTAGCCTTTTGGGTAAGCTTTCAGCGTACGGCTTATCCCCTGGTCTGACTGAATGGGTAAAGGACTTTATGAGTGAACGGTCTCTCCGGGTCTTCATCGACAGCTGCTCATCCGATCCTATGGCAACTAACGCCGGTGTTCCTCAGGGGTCCGTTCTCTCCGCAACTCTCTTCCTGCTGCATATTAATGATCTGCTTATGCCCGTATCTATTCTTTTTTATTCTTTTAAAAAAAAAACGTTACCCCCACGCTAGTATTTTCTCCTGTGTCGTGGAGGCAGAGTACAAACATAATTTGTAGGCCATGCAAATATTTGTGGGCAAAAATATTTGTAGGAACAATTCGTCGCAAAGCGGCGAACCTCAATTTTTAAAAAATTGCAGGAGATCAAGAAAATATTTATTTTTCCCCGATTATTGAAGTTTTTTCATCAGAAAATTTAAAATATTAAATTTCTCGCTCGTCTCGCACGTCTAGATGTCGCTACGACTCGTCCACTTCGGAACAGAGTCGGTTTTTCTGCACAAATCATAGGCGTTTGTCTACATGCGGTAAGTCGTGTCTACATGTTGGTGCGACTAACGTTTAGACGCGACTTACTTAGTCGGCTATGTCAGGTACAACTTGGCGTCAGTCCCGGTGAGATGTTACGTATTAAA